CAACCCCGGGCACGTTCGGCAACCCTCCTCTCCAACATCAACGCCTCCGTGCGGGTGACCGCGACGCGGCAAAAAACAAATCGTCGCGCCCCACTGGGTGCGCTTATTCAAAAACGACTGCGCGCAGATCCAAGCAAGAGGATGCTCCGTGCGCGCTCCTGCCGCCAAGAAGCCCCAAGACGCTTCTTGCCCAAATAAACCGCACAGCCGGCCAAGAGAAGATCGTGCTCGCTGCTCCTTCCCGGTCAACGAATGGGCAGAGTTTGCCAACGCGCCCGCCTCGTTCATAATCCTGTGAAAGCATGAACGCGGCCCCATCATGAAAATGCTGGGGCGTGTCACCCAAATGTTATCATACGCAGGGCGCCTCTGAAATTCAACACCGCCGACGACGCCGCACCAAGATCACCGCCCATCCCGACCCACCCCATAAGACGCGCGAGCGCCTCCTGAACATGTGTGGATTCCTATCCCGAGTCGCCGGGCTCCTGCGCAGCAGCAGCAGCTACAGAGCCTGCAAGCCCCACCCTGGGAACGAGAGACCCATTTGGCCGCGTCGTGAATGCGGAACCCGGGGCAAGTGGAGGAACGCATGCATTCGAGGGCTCACGGCCACCACCATCGTCCCCGCCGCCGTTGCAAAAACGAGGATGCTAGGAGCTTCCCACTGGACAAGGCGACGCTTGGACACCAGGGAGTTGCCACCCCGCGGTTGGGAGGTGAACTCGGGCGGCGCTGGCCCCTCCAAGCCTCTCCGCTCGCCAAAAAAATGCTGCGTTCGCTGCCTCCCAGCGCGGCACATTCGAGAACACAACTCTACTAGTGAAGAAGTAAAGAAAGGAGTTCATCAAGAGACATGTCATCATCCACTTGGCCCCAGCGAGCCCCACAGCCTTTCCACAAGTTTATAAAATTGGGTACGAAGCGGCCGTGGTGGTGCCCTCTAACCCACACGTGCCTGCCTCAGAGGCATGAGTCACTCGCAGTTTTCCTTCGTTTTTCTTTTTTTTCTTTTTTCCCCCTCCTTTTCTTCCCTTTTTTTTTCAGTTCACCTCCCCGGCAGAATGAAAGATGCATGCACGTATCATTTCTGTCTTGACGATCGCAAAATTTAAACCCCGACTCCACTCCACTCCACCCTCAATAATAAAAATATAAATAAATAAATAAATAAAACTATCACTTGACGTTTTCTTTTTTTTTCTGCTGCTTAATTCCCACAAACAAGTTAACTCCGCCAAATAATAATAATAATAATAATTAAATAAATTTAAAAAAAAAAAAGTTTTTTTGATAAAACGACCCGGCAGAAGCATCAAAAAAATAAAATAAATAAAATAAATAAATAAAATAAATAAATAAATAATAATAATAAGCAAGCGAAACTATTTTGCTTCGTGAAGCTGTAAAAAAAAAAAAAACACACATACACACATACACACACACACACTCACTCTCTCTCTCTCTCTCACTCGCTCTTTCTGTCTCTTTCTCTCCTCCGGTCCAACAGCCAAAAGAAGAAAAAAGAAAAAAAAAAAAAGACCATCAATTTCTTTGTTGTTGTTGCTGTTCGTCTCGTGGAACCAATATATATATATATTTATTTATCTAAAAAAAAAAATAATAATAACCCAAACAAACAAACAAAATAATGCACTTGTTCACATCATTGTCTTGATTCACCCGCCAGCAGCGACGGCGGTGGCGAAACTCGCTCAATATATCTCAAATTATTTGTGTCGCATTCCAGTAGGCTCTGCGGAAGAGAGGGGCTCAGTTTTTTTTCACCTCGCCGAACACAGCAGCCGTTGTGCCAAAAACAACCGCCACAACACCGGAAAGAAGCAGTAAATACGTGCAGAAGTAGTGGAAAAAGCCAACGGTCCTCAGGCTCCAGTTCCCAGTGTACATGTAAAACAGGGAGGGAAATATAAAGCCCAAAAACCCACCGCAGAGGCTCCCCACGAGGCCAAAGACAATCGTGATACTTGGAATAAACAAACCCAGTACGAGAGCAACGATGGCCAACGCAGTGCAGAACAGGGCATTCTTCCAAAAAGGCATGGTGGTGACATTCCACCCAATGCAATAGTACATAGAGTCTCGAGAAGGCTGCATACATATGGCAAATCCAACGCAAAGCTTAAAGGCGAGACCAGCGTAAGCAACGGCAATCATGGGGTCGTCACGGACGTTGTAGTAAAGCAGAACGGAGTCCGTGATGGCATCACCAAAGTCTGCATATCCAAAAAAACCCGAAATAATGTAAAGAAAGCAACAAATAACCATGCTGAGCGTGGTGTCCCGTGTCATGCGCCGGGGTGTTGGCTTCCGCATTTCAGCGTACACTTCAAGACAATTTGTTTGGCACAGGAATGCAAATATAAAAAGTGAAAATCCAATAATGGCGCCGTTGCCGGATCGAAACATTTTCAGATCATGGCGTGGCTTTCCATGCTCAAAGCCTCGCACGGCGTGCACCACAATGGCGACAACAAAGTACATGATAAAAGAGACCCCAACGACCGAGGCGTAACGCAGGGAATTAATTTCTTTGGGAATCGAAAGTGGCAGCATCACGCAGAACCATATCACTATCACCAGGCAGCGATTTCCCCAGACGGTTTGCAAAAATGGATTCACGGAGGGATCATCCAGGATGGGACGCAGCATATCTCCCACGGAGATAACATATGAGACGCATGAGCCAAAGCAGAACATCCACATATTAAAGGCTGCCCAGTAGTCCCACCCACGACCGAGTAATCCGCGTGCCAGCTTCTCGTAGCCACGATACCCGGTCTTGTCGACTGCCAATGCCAACAAGTAGGTTGAGAACACCGTCGCCAGAGAGATGACAAGAAGCACAACAACCGAGAGCACAACGCCCGTGCTGTTAAAAGCGGAGGGGAGAGTAATAATGCCAGAGCCAAGCGTGACCGAAGCAAGATTGTACGCGCCGGAGAGCATGCCTCCATGAGATATTAAATCACAATATGGAAACTTTCGTTTACGTGGTACAACGTCTTCCAAGAGAACTTCGTTTTTATCGTTCCCATCATTTATCGCCCCGCCTCCCATATCCTCCATGTCAGGCGTAATTAATGTGTAATCCGCCACTGTCCCGCCACCCATATACCCTTGCATCTCCACCCCATTTTCATGCATACTTTCTCTTTCAAGAGGCATTCTTTTTTTTTTTTTTTTTTTTATTTATTTCTTATGTGTATATGTGTGTTTATGTGTATGTGTGTATGTGTGCTACGTTCACTTCGCTATTCCTCTTGTTTCACTTTGTTTTTTTGTTGCTTGTTTGTTTCTTCTCTAGCAAAGGAGAAAACAAAAAAATAAATTAATTAATTAATAAATAAATAAACATGTCGTATCCACCGGCGTCAATCATGTGGGCAACGGAAGGAAAGGAGGGGTAACTCGCAAATGTATTGCGTACATGTATCCATTTTATATATACTTCACATAAGAAACGGAGAAAATCATATTTCCGACTGTACATTTGCCGCCTCGCGGAGAAAAAGAAGCGGGGGGGCTGTCGGGCAGATGCGGCTAAATAACGTGTTGATGCGATTTGCCACGTAATTTTGAATAAACTTTCGATCCCTCAAATCAACCACAGACAACAAACGCTCCAAGTTACCAGGAAACTTTGCCGTGTCATCGATCACACCAAGAATGTGATTTACCTGCATCAGTGCCTCCACAACGATGGAGCGAACAGCGGCCTTCGTGTCCGCATCCAAAAAAAATTCCTTCGTGGTACCAAAAAAGGAATTGTTCAAATTAAAGGATTGGTATTGTCCACTCAGTTGCACAAGATGCTGGCGTCGCAGTGCCCAAAGTTCATCCTTGTAGTTTGCAAGCTCCGCACTGCTAGCTTCTAAATGGCGTTGCAATTCGATGGTCAGAAGCGCAACGCTCTTCTTCCCCTCGGTCTCGGTCAGACTCGCAATGGTGTTGGGAGACACTGGCACCATTGGCAGTGTGGCGGTGTAGGCAGCGCTCGGGGTTTTGTTGCTCATCATTGCGATGAGCCGCATTTCGTTCTCCCGGACCCTGGCGGACAAGGACTGGAGTTCCTCCCTAAGTTGCTTCTGGCGCCTAATGCAAAACTGTTGCTTCTGTAACTCCAACGCAATCATACGCTGCATGACGACCATTTCCTCGGCGATAGACGTCGTCTCTTTCTCCAGAACGACAGAGTGCCCTTGGACCTTCAGAAGCTCCACAATAAGCCGTGACATCTCCTCCTGCGCGGATGCCTTATCCTCCAGCTCCTCTACGGACAACTTTGTCATTTCAACAACCCCCTTGTCGAGGCGGTGAAGCATCAACTGAAGCATTTCTTCCTGCTGTTGACTCGTCTCAGACTGCATTTCGGCAATGAGGACCACATGCTCTCCGTGATCCCTGAAGTACTTCTCCTCTGCGTCACGATAAAGTTGCTGCATCGTCTGCTGCTCCAGAAAAGCCGCCTCCACCTCATTATCCTTCACCGCAAGGTTACATAGTGTTTCCAGCATTTGCTTCTGATCCGAAAAGAAGCCCTCCGCTATCTCCTCCATGTCCTCCAAGAAAATAAGCCTGGCATCCGATAATTCCGTCATGAGATTCCGCGCCGTCGTGGTGACTCTCTCCCTCTTGCGCTGAGCCTCCTCTCGCTCCTTCTCCTTCAGCAACTCGAATTCACTGACATCCTCCTGAATGTTTTTGGCTTTCTCCATCGTTCTCTGCAACTCCTTCTCCGACGCCAGAAACTGGGGACAGGCGCGCGGGGCAAGCAGGTGTCGTGTCCGCCCAAAGAAGGCGGTCCTCGCAACCTCGCCCGTGCCCTTTTGGCCCTTCTCGCCCTCGAAGCAGGCGCGGGTCGCGTCCAGCAGCGAGCCGTCCATAAAAGAGGGTTTGTCGTCCACCTCCTTCACGCAATCCCACAAAATGTCAACCTCCAGCTCATCGCCGGCCGGCTCCGGTGCCACAAGCGGCGGCGGGGCATTCTTCTTCTTCCTCCTTCCCTTCGGTGGCATCCAACTCCCCTTCTTTTTTTTTGTTCCTTTCTTCCCTGCCATGGCAAACAAACAAAGGGAAAAAAAAAAATGCAAAAAAAAAAAAATAGACGCAAGAAAAGTTGTCGACATCTCCAACCAGCCAACGGCTCACCGCCTACGTCCTTTTCCCTTTTTTTTTTTTCTTCTTCACCTCTTGAGCGACTAGAGGCAGGTTGTCCCTTCCCCTCCATGCACGAGTCCTTCCCGATACTGTGGTGCCACAATGGTACAATAAAGAAGCAGTTGCCTCATCATCCACTCACAACAAGAGAAATTGAAAATGGAAACGCAACCAAAACAACTCAGTCAAAAAAATAAATAAATAAACGGAATCACTACGATAAAATATAAAACGCATGCTTCCTCCTTCTCTTCTTGCCTTCTGTGATGTGCCTTATTTCCATTCTAGCAGTCTAGTCTCTCATGATGTACTGAGACACGCGCTCCGCATTCTCGAGTGCCTGAAGCGCCTTTAAAATGGTTTCTTCATCTGCCATGGACCCCACCGAAGTTGGCGCTTTGATTCCACTTTTTGCTGAGTGTGACTCCTGAGCGAGGGTGGTGGAACCATTCAAGACCGACATTGGCCTGCATGTGCTGCTCCTCTCTATCAAAGGCTGAGTCCCACGCCGGAATGCAATGGGCATGGCAGCAACAGCTTCTTCCTCCTCCATTTTCTCCGCCTCCCTTCTAATCAACATCAGTCTTTGCTTCTTTCTCTCCTGCCATAGATGCATGCGTACATCCAGTGGAAGCCCCGACACGCCGTCTGCAGAGGTGCGGCTCTCGTTAATCTTCGGGGCAAATGTGCACTCCGGTCCCAACTCCCGTTCTCCCTCTGAAAAGGAGCGCCGCCGTGCGGCCCGTTTGCCACCATCCATGTATAGTTGATCAAAACGTCGATCAAGATCCTTACGACACAAAAGCAACTTTCTAGGGGCTGTTTCTTCGCAATTCGCTTGACGGGGCTTCAGGAGGCGCTCAGTCGTGGACTCGTTCATCCGCGCCGCAATGAGTTCACTCACTCGGTTTATATTTGGATGAAACTCAGCACCCTCCTCGGAAGTCACAAGACGTCTCTGTTGTTGCTGTTGAAGCCCGTGTTCATACAAGTCCTCATATGCATGTCTCCCTGGCCTTCTGTGGAGCTTTTCAGCCCTTTCCGAAATGGACGGATGAAACGGGAATTCCGTATTCTCCTCGATCACCTCCTGCAGTCGTTCCCTCGTGTCCCTTTCCTCGCTTTGCTTCTCCTTGGCGTGCAAATAAAGCCGCTCCACAGCCGTGTACGGAAGGAGCAACTTCTTTGCTTTTTTGGTTATCATCGGGGCCGCGCGTATGGCATGCATCTCGTTTCTTTTTCTCTCCAGCTGCTCGTCTGCCATTGCCTTGCGGCGCAGCAGAGCCTCTTGGACAGACAAGTCCGCGATATTCTCCTTTAACCGCCGTTCACGCGCGAGACGCGCAGACTCAATCGATATTCGGGGATGAAAATTCAGTTCTGCGGTGGACTCCTCAATGAGGCGTTCGTACCTCTGAGCCCGCCTGCGCGTCAATGTCTCCGAAGTACTGGATGAAATGGCACGCGTGCCTCTCTGCGTCCTTGGCTCTGCCCTCTCGAGGAGTTTTGCCTCCGCCATCTCTGCCTCCTCCTGGCAAATTCTGCGTGCTCGCTCCACCCGTTCATCTCTCTGCCTCCCGTATTCCAGCAGCCGCTCCTCGACGGGCACACCGACGGTACAACGGGAGCTACGAGGCCTCAATGGCCGCTTCTCATGTCGCTTCTCCGGCCTCGTCCCATCCCTTTCATCATCGCCACCGCCATCGTCGTGGGATACGGACACAAGTTTCGAAAGAAGCCACTGCCGCTGTTCCTCAAACGCCTCGCGCTGGCGCCGCATTCGCTCGTCCTCTACCACAAGACGGCAGGTCAGCACATCGCCCAGCTCCGTCATGTGTGCAACTCTACTCCCCGTCCCCTCTCCTGCAAACAAACAAAAAAAAAAAACAGAAAGCAAAAAAAAAAAAAAGGAAGGAACCAACAAACAAGCAAACACACACGCACACACACAAAAAAAAAGGCAACGGCGGCACACAAACAGTTGGGATCGCATGAAGGCAAAAATTATTAAGGCGGGGTTGCACTCCGACTCCAAGCTGTGCCCTCCCCCTAATTTTTATTCCTTTTCGCATAAAGAACAAACCAACATTTTCTTGTTTTTGTTTTTGTTGTTTTTTTTTTTCTTGAAAATGGAAATTTATAAGTACTGTCTACATTCAAACTAATTTCATCGTCATCGTTCTTTGTTGTTGTTTTGTTTGTTTGTTTGTTTGACCCTCTTCGCTGATGTCATTTCTTTTTGTTGTCTTCTACCACTGAGCCTCGTTAGAGTAGGAACGAGTAAAGAATCGACGTCCAAACGCATCGGGATTTTTCATGATCTCTTGCTGCTGCTGCTGCTGTTGTTGGCGTGCAGCTTCTGAATTTCGAGGTATCTGCGATGAATAAATAGGGGGCATCACCTTCTTCTTGCGCTCCCCCTCCAGCAAGTACTTCATCCGAGCCTCCTCGAAGCATTTGAGCAGGTTGGGCAGGCTGGGCCCCCCATCCCTCCTGCGTTGAGAGTATGAGCGGTCAGCCAAGATAATACTCGGCTGCGCGGTGGAATTTGTGTCGCCAGAGCACTGACTCGATCCCCTAAATAATGACGACTGGGAAACAGATCGACGAGCCCGGATGCTCTGCAGTCGTTCGTGTCGGCTTTCGTGGCGCAGGCGGAGTGCCTGCAGTTCCTGCTGCAAACGGCATGTTTTCATGCGGAGCCTTTCCGGCGATGATAATCGCGGGACAAGGGCTTTGGAATTTGCGGGGCGGTGGCGCACCGTTGGGAGCCGCGCCGCCGTGAAAGCGCGTGCCGGCCGCTCTTCAAAGGCCCCCGTGTGCGCTTCACCCCCTCCCCCCAGTGAAGACGGGGAGAACGCCGCCTGAACCGACCACGCATCACTGCCGACTACGGCGTTCCGCGGGGCTGTGAACGCCGCTGTTTGACTATCCGACATGCGACGCCAGAGACTAGAGAACTTAGCAAAAAAGACCAGGAAGAAGAAATTAAAAAATAAAAATAAAAAATAGAAGCAAAGATGAGACATCAGTTAAAAGCGCTAAGACGGAGACATAAAAAAAAAAAAAAAAAAAGTATATACAGGCATAGCGTCTTCACTGAGACTGGGCGCAGCAAACGGTTTTCCCACACAGACACACACCAGCAATTCCCATTCGAAAGAAAAATTTGTGTCACAAAAAAAAAAAAAAAAAACAAGGAAAGAGACCAATTTTCTACGCCCCCAGCGTCGTAAATCGAAAGGAGTATGCAGTTCCACCCTTGTTTGAATTGTCGCGCCCGGCCACGCCCACCTTCTCCATAACTTGAGGCGTTTCGGGAGACAACTCAGCACTGATCTGAGACGGGGAGTCAATGCCAGCACATGGCCCTCCCACGCTCGATACAACACCCACACCGTCGTCATGACGGGTCGCGGGATCAACAGAAACAAGTCCTTCGTAGCCCACATGTCCTCGAAGAGCCTGGTGCGCTCGTTGCATGTATTCACGCACTTCTACCGACAGAGGGCTGTCCCCCTCTAAAGGCTTCTCAGGAACGAGAACAATCTGTTGCCGCTCGCTTAGGCGAGGAGCCGGAAGATCTTCAAGCGGCCTCCCACCAATCTTTGTGGCCACCACCCTCATGCCATGCGTGAACTGAGAGAGAGAAGTCAGCCTCTGCCCTGTATCTGCGGAGAAAAGGGTCCCTACGGGCCGCAAATGAAGAAGTTCAGACACTCGCTGTTTGACCTGTGACATGGTGCGGAGCTGCTGCACCATCAGAATGGCCGGTGGGGTGTCCGGCGACTCGTTGTTGATAAGAAACACCTTCACGGGACGGACCTCAGCGTGGGCGCAAGGATCAGTATGGCGAGCACGCGTCCACGCGGTGGGTCGCACCTCATCCTCATCTTTTCTAACCGTGTTTTCCGCCCCCTTCTCTACTGCGGATGCCATTGAAACGCGGGCAACGGCAGGCCTCTCCCCCAATGCCACGACAGCACCTTCCACAATCGGGAATACGACGCCGCCCTTCACCACTGGCGGTGCCTCCCACGGCTGTCCGTACTGTCCAATAAACACACGCCGGGGCACCACCCCGCAGTTCTCCACAGCGCGCAAAATGTCGGTGAAGGAGGCATGATCCCGTGACGCGTTGCGCCTTCCGTCCAGAATCACCACAGGAGCCATGCGAAGTATTGCGCAGTGCAACCCTGGATTGTAGGCGCAATCGCCCGTCAAAACCACCAGCGGGACGCCATTCTGTGATACGCACACCCCACATGATGCCTCCGCGGCAGAAGTGTCGAACACAAGCAGCGACACCGCGGCCACACATGGCAAATGATACGGCGGCAAATTTGCGTCCGGTGGGACACCAGGAGAAGGGATGGCGACAAAGTCACAGACACCATCACCATTGGCTGCTTTGACGCCGTTTAACCGCGAGCGTACCTCCGCCAATCGGTGTTCCCTAATGCAGGACATCACCGCCTCGCTAGCAACAATGCGAAGACGCCTCCCCTTGCAACTCTCCACGGCGATGATGACCGGAAGCTCGGCGGACATGTGCGAGCGGTTCGAAAAAATGAAAATATTGGAGGGAATGACGCCAAAGTAGCGGAGACACTGCCTCGTCACACCGTACCCGGCGCCGAACAGAATGAGTGGTTCTTCGTCCATGCAGAGAACGTAACCAGGGCTACAACTCCCATCATAGACCATGGAGGCACCTTTACCCGTTCCCAAACAAACTACAGAGAACTGTGTATCGTGGCGCATCGTGTGGTGCAACTGCCATGCAGAACCAACGGCGGTGCGTTGACACCACTCTCTCCCCCTGCGGCTGCTGAAATGAGAACAACTCGGTTTAAAGGAACAAAAAAAAAAAAAAAAAGACAAAATCGTTAAGTGGGCAATCAAACAAAATGCAGAGCGGCGTAACTGCCCCCCACGCAGCAACAACACCTCGTCTCCACATTTCTTTTTTCTGCTTCACCATTCTCCGCGGCACTCTTTGCGCCCACACACAATTACACAGAGAGAAAGAGAGGGAGAGGATAGAAGAAACCCCTTCATCCCCATCCACGTCCCTTCCCCCCGTTAGCAAAACAACATCGACATTCATTTTCCATGCCGTTTATAAAGAAACTAAAAAAAGAAAAAAGAAAAAAGAAAAAAGAAAAAAAAGTTTGTGATTATTTACCAAAAGCAAATCATGTATTCCTCCGGGGTCGGGCTGCAGCAAAAAGATTTGTATTCATACTGTCAATGACCCTTCATGTCCTCCGGCTTCAATTCAAAGTCAAATACTTTGGCATTCTTTACGATACAATTCCTCCCCTGGCTCAGCCGGCCACCTCAACGTGGTGCCAGGGTCTAGTACTCTTTGCTAGAGAGGAAGCTAAGCGCCTGCTGTTCATGCTTCAAACCCGATGAGTAGTTGTTACTTAGTTTTACGGGCCGGAAGGGCAGATGTTGGAGCCATTCTATAATGGCTGCCCGCGGAGTAAGGTTATCCCTGCTGCTGAATTCCTTCGTACGCTTACCAGAGCTGCACAATTGAGGTGTAGTTACTACGACTGGTAAGAGAAGAAAAAAAAAAAAAATACAATTCCTCGGCACATGCTTCGGGGTGGTGCTAACGCCGTGCTAAATCTCCCAACGCAGTGTCACCTGCGCGGGAGTCCTGCCGTAATTGCTGGTGATGGTCTTCAGGCTGGGGATCCACGAGACGGTTGCCCGGCCCTTGCGGCAAAAATGCCGTCACAAAAATACTCTTCGCCTTTCAATAGGCACGCAGCTTCCCTTGGTTGTTCAGCAGGTGGTGCTCAATCCCCTTTGACCATGAGAGAAACCCTGCAGTGCTTCGGAGACTCTTTTTTTTTTTTTTTCGTGTGTGTGTGTGTGTATGTGCGTAACATCTGAGTGCTTCTATGTTTTTTTTTTTTTTCGCCAAGCGTGGACTTCCCAAACGTGGGTGTAGACAAGCAGAAAAGAAAAAGAACACGTGCAATTTACATAACACGGCAGCAATTCAGACCCGCATGCGCACCACCTCCTCCCTCCACCCACTCGCCCACCATCAACGGCACAAGCAGTCAAGTAAACGGGAAGGCAAACAGGTGACGGAACCAACAAAAAAAAGAAAAAGGAAAAGAAAAAAGGAAAGAAGAGTCAGCCGTCTTCTACCGCCGCCGTCTTCTACATGTCGCTCTCTATGATGTCCGCTGCGTCCGCCTCGAGGCTCGGGAGGGGCTCCTCCGCCTCCGCCCCTACTGCACTCCTCCCCTGCAACGCGACACAGCTAAAATCATCCGTGATGGTCTCCATGGAGCACATGTCCACGCCACACTGCGTTGTGATATTCAGGGGAACCTTCAGCTCCACACCTGGGAATGCCTTGGCAACGTACGTGTGTACCTCCGTGAGTATATCCCGCGTCTCGCGGATGCACTCCTCCAGTACGTCGAGGTGGCAGTCCAGCCACAGCGAGTCGTGTACAAAATTTACCATAAATGCCTTCTGCCCGTAAAAGTCCCTCCGCACAAAATGACGGAACACACGTCCCACCATCATCTGGGCCAGCTCCGCACCAAAGCCCTGAATGGGGTAATTCTTCACCGGCGGCAGGTTCAGCACCACATCCCGTGTCTTAAAACTCATGCGAATCCCAGTCGGGAGTTCCACAACGAAATGCGTTGGCAAGCCGGGATTCTCTGCCCGTAAGGCAACCGTGCGGACAAGTCGGTGGAACTGCATGATGCCAGGGTACTCCTCCTCCTCCTTGCGGATGGAGGCCTCAAGGTCCTCCACGGGAATACCGGTCGTCTTGTGCAGCAGCGGAACCCCCGCCCCGTAGAGACGCTGAAACGAAAAAGTCTTGGCTGTCCGGCGCAGCTGAACGTACTCCGGGATGCCACGCTTGTAACCCTTGTATATCTCATCATACGGAAGCCCGCTGAAAAAGGATGCCCGTTTGATGTGGAAGTCAACGCCGCGATTCAGATCGGACACAAGCCGAGGATCACCGCATAGGAGAGCCAACACAACAATCTCCAGCTGCGAGTAGTCCAGCTCTACGCAGCGCCCTTTCTCACCAAAACGGGATACGAAAAGACGTCGTATAGGAGACTTGTCGTCCTTCGGTATGTTCTGACAGCTCGGGTATGAGCTTGTCGTGCGAGAGGTTGATGTTGCCGTGAGGTCAATGAGCTGCCTCACCTTGCCGTCACTGTGCAGAACAGACAATCGCCCACTGGGGTCGGAGTGAAGAAACCGCGCCGCATTCCGTTCCAACTGTTGCTTCTGAAGCAGCAGTCCCGCCACAGTTACCTGATTTCGGTGCAGTACCTGTAAAGTGTTCTCGTTGATGGGCTTGCTCCGCAGGGACGCCAAGAGCCGCGGGTTATCGATGAACTGCGACGCCACACCGGGCAGGCGCACCACGACTCGGTCCCGTCGACGCTCCGGCGGGAGAAAACAGCCGACGCCGGGGTAAACAACCAACGTGCGTGCGGCATGGCTGAAAACGGCATCCCGCTGCTTCACAGAATCTCGCCCCGCCAGACCCAACGCATTTACAAGAACAAACCACAGTGTCTTTGCATCCGTGTCCGCACGATGGAGAAGGCCATCCGCCTCTACATGAAGTCCCTCCACCAAGGAGGATAATCGAAGGGAAGTTGTCAACGTCTCAAGAACACCTCGGTCAACCCGGGGGTTCTCCGTGGAACCCTGCAGCTCACGCTTGAGAGCCTTTAGCAGGACAAGTGAATCACAGAAAAGAATGTTGTCCATGCACACACCTTCACGCTCAAACGCGCGGCGAAGCAGCGGTTCGTCTAGTGCAAACACGTTGTGTCCAATGAGAACAACGACCTCGTTGGGATCTATTTGAGCCTCATCAAGGCGTAAATACCGCGCCAAGGCTCGTGTCACCTCCGGTAGTCGCGGCGCTCCACGCACCATGCCGTCTGTGATGTGGTGAATCGCCATCGTCTCCTGCGGTATGGATCGCTCCGGATCTACGAGCGAACTGAAGGACGTTGCCTCAACGGGATCCCACGCGGCAATTTCAATGATGGCATCCGTCGCGGTGTTTAAGCCAGTGGACTCAATGTCAAACACAACAAGTCTATACGTCCGCATCCCAGCGCTCTCATCCTTCGACAGATATTGGCTTACGCGCTGTGAAAGACGCCCTGCCGTTCGCAGTCCCTTCTCACTTGCAAACCGCTGCAGGTGAACATCCGCTGACAGCAAAGAGAGGTTGCCATACCGGTGGCAGAAGTGAATGAGGTGGGACGTCCAAGTGGAAGATTCCAGCGAAGAATCCGTGTACCCCAGTGTGATACTTCCGCCAAAAAAAAGCGCACCCAAATGCTGCAGGGAATTCCAATCAAAAAGTTTCTGTAAATCGACAGGCACTTCATTGGGGACGTACAAACTAAGAGCCTTGTCAGTGGCCAAAAGCCGATTTCGAACTGCCTGCGCTTGACGAGCAGCCTCCTCCACGTCAATTTGAATACCCGCATTCTCAATGGCCGCCATGGAGAGAAGAGAGTCCATGCGATGGGCGATGCAAATAACTTGGCTCCGTTCGCACGACTTTGAAAGCTGCTCCCGGAACACGGTGGAAAGTGCATCCACAGCAGCGATCAGGTAATGGCGAAGAAACGTAAGTGGCAGATCCACTGTGGCGACCCCAAGAACAGAAGAGGGCGGTGTCATGACGCCGTACTTCAATGCAACATCACGAAAGTTATTGCTTCCCGTCTGGCATCGCTGGGCCTCCAAAATGTACTCCGCCAGCATTGTGCACCACACCCTCCCTCCACGCTTAAAAAATCGATGCAATTCCGGGTCATCCCACAGAAACAAAAGCAGTTGCTTGGCATCATGACACACAATCACGTCAAACTCGTTTAAAGAGGGAAGTTTAAAATCCCCCCGGGCCGCATACTTCGTCCATGGCTCCACCACGCGGTGCTGTGCGTCCATCAGGGATGCGGCCACCACAAAGTTCACTGAGGCATGCGGATTCGCCGGACGCGTGTATGCGGCAAATTCCGTCGTTACATATGCGATAAAAAGATGTTTCTTGTACTTCCGCACCTCCGCCTTCTCCCTCGCTACACGACGGCTCAAAGATAAGACGCCCAGCCACTTTTCCACCTCCGCGTTCGTCAAAGAGACCGCTGCCTCCGCGGTACGGTGCGGTATCCTTGCTTCTACACCGCCCTCCCGCAGTCGTTTGCTGTGGTATCTGCGGAAATTGTTCCCGGCTGTGATGTAAATCTCAAAGAGGAGGTCCATATCGAGACCCCCCGACACTTCACGGAGTAACGTCCAAAAACGGGACGGCTCTGACTGGTAAACGCCGCGGTACTTCTCACCGAGCTCGGAGGCGAACACCAAATGGCACTGACGGCCGGCCTTTGTCATGGCAACACGACACCGAAGCAGCGTTGGACGATCGGTTCGATTTGTTGGAAGAAGAATGATACGCTTTTGGTGCCGCTCCAGCATACATGCCAGAATATCGGAAAGCATGCCCCTGGCCACATACCGTCTCCTGTGTACTGGATCCCACAGCACGACGTTAAGGCCACGTGAACCAGACCGCACCAAGTGAATAACAAAAACGTCAAAGCGAGGCACGATAAGAAAATTAATTGTGCGGATTGGGTCCTCTTCATTCATACGGCACGCCAACGTGCGCAGGTACACCCAGTGGGCACGAAACCATGGTTCACTGAGTGGCTTTGGGGTGATCACGGCATAATTCGTCACCAACTCACGCAAGGGCGGTGGATTCGGGTCCAACGCCTCCGCCATCTCCAGGTTGTCCACATGCAGAACAGGAATGATGCCACTTTGCCGCAGTGTCACGAGAAGTCTCTTGAAATAGGGTGCAAGTACGTCTCGCTCCTTTTTGTGCTCCACGAGCGGGAGAAGAATCACCTGCGTCAAACCATGAGTGTGCTGCATGAGCTCATCCGCCACCGTGGACAGGTCGATGCCGCAGCCATCACCATGATTATCCCCACCACCGTTGTGACTCGTCTCCGCGCTGTCGGGAAGTGGCGAGCCCACAACAACTACACGATCCCGTTCAATGGAAAAAAAGTGAAAGCATCGAGACCGCAGGTCGTACGACACCAGAAACACCGGAAGGTCCTCGCAACGACGCTGCTCCTCCTCTTGAACCCGCACGGCGTGGCTATCTTGCTGGGTCTCCATGCCCTTCACGACCCGCTCGTAGTGTTGCCGCACACTTTCCGCCACACCGGCGTCCAACGAGACGGGCAGACGAAAAAACTCCGTGAAACCCTCAGCATCATCGGTGAGTGGTGCCGCGTTCTGCAGCGCCGTCTGGGTGTTTATAAGTGAGAGGAAGCTGAACGCACACCGCATGTCGCACCTGGCGCCCACCACACAAAACAACCGACGCATTGGGCCTCCTGCTAATATTGCCGGCGACCGTCCAGTAACTTCTCCTTTTTGTTTTTCCTGAAAGAAGAGAAAAAGAAAGAGAGAAGCGTAAAAAATAAAATAAAAATAAAAATAAACGCCAAAAACATGTTCCTTTCTTTTTTTCCCGCTCCTTTTTTTCTTTTTTCTTTTTTTTTTTTTTTTTTTCATGTCGCTTCAACCCCCGCAGCCTCTTCATTTTGAAGACGGTACAAAAGGACGTAGGATGAGGGCGTGCAATGTGCGCCTCCCGTTTTCCCGGTGCGTCCCCACACCACGGCCGTCCCAATACAACGACTCCACAACAACAACCCTTCACCCCCTCCCTCCCAAGAAGTGAAATGAAGAAAGGAATATATATATATGTATATATATATATATATATATATATGTTCCGCCTCAGGGTTTTGATCCCGTTTATTTGCTAGCCGGCTGCTGTGCTGGTATGCGTGCAGTGGAGGCCGTCCCCAATTTCTTCATCCTCTCCACCTCCTGGACCGCCTCCATGTACGCCCGAGCCTCCTCCTGACGCTTTTTTTCAAGCAGCGTGGACTGCGCGGTCATGTGCCTCCGCAGTGCAAACAGTTCCTTTTGGCGTTGGTAGCACCTGCCCATGCCGTAAAGCGACCCAATCGTGACGGAAAACCAAAATAAGACGTACATGGTGTGCACAATGGGCATCAGGTGAACGTACGTCACCTCTTCCGTGCTCCGGCGCCACGGCCATGCATGTCCCCGCACAATCCGTTGGTCATCTCCAGTGTAGTCCTCCAGCATCTCCACGTAGTAGTGGTGGAGACCGTGCTGGGAGACGCGAGCGTCCACGTTGTTGGTTCCCCAGCGCCGCTTGTAGTAATCTAACGCCATGTTCCACGGCCGAAGCGCCAACCACGAGAGGTCGGCAGCAGCGGGCCCCTCGTTCAATACGTTTTTTCCCCAAAAAAGAGACGCTGAGAGGTATTCCTCGCGGCGGAATATCCCACGCACCGTCGTCAGGGCAAATCCCTCGCCAATGTACTGCGCCAAAAGTGTGCGATGTTTACCCGCGTCGATTGGAACCCAGCCACGGTTTATCATGACAAACTGCTTTGTTCCGGCAATCTCAAAGGGTGTCATGACAAGAAACCCTCCCTTGCTCTCCTCGTGGGTGGCTCCACCCTTGTACGACGGTATCGAGCGGGGCCCCACGAGCACAGAACCCTCGTTGTCGAGTACCCCCTCCAATTGCACCGGAAGAAACTCAAACTCATCGACGGTCTTGTCGCTTGCTGGGAGTTCCTTCAGCGCGGGCTTCATGATGTTTTTGTGGTTCTCAAGTAATCGCTTCTTTTCCGAGCGACGAAAGATCTGCCATATGCCAGCATTAAATGACACCACGGCGCTCGTTAGAAACATGAAGCCCATGTAATCGGGCCTCATGACTGGTTTCTTCAGGCTGCGGTGGTTGCACTGAATTGACGTCCAGGCTGCCACAAGAAGCCGTATAACTTGCCTTCTTGTTGTTGTTGTTGTTGTCGTTCCTTTTTATTTTTTTTGGCTGCTTTTTTTGTTTTATTTTCACTTTTTTTTTTTTTTTGTGTATTTTGTTTTGCCCAAATAAATAAATAAATAAATAAATAAAAACAGACGCAAATAAATATATATATTTGGCCACAATAACAAAAAGCACACATGTCGTTGGGCGCCTGAATAATGCCACATGTCACACACACACACACACACACGCGTAGGAACAAGAAGGGAAGAAAGAGAAGGACAAACACAAAAAAATGCATCCAACTGCAATGGACATATTTATTTTATTTTATTTATTTTATTTTATTTTATTCCAGCATGCGCTCAGAAATGTATAAACAAATATTTATATATTTATATATCATCTACACGTGTATAGAAGAAGAAAAAGAAAAAAAAAGAAGAAGAAGCCAAAGGGAGAAAGAGACAATGGGAAATAATAATTCTTTGAGTATATCTGTTCTTCTTGCCGTTGCATCCATAATATTAGCAAAGTTCAATGTACATAATCATATACAATATATATACATGTGTGTGTGTGTGTGTGTGTGTGTGCGTGTAATGAAAGCAAGTCATTCATAAATAACGTTCTTCAATAGTACATATTAATGGCCCCTCCCTTCCTCTCCCTTCCTCCCTTTTCCCTCCGTCTTCTCATGGGTGCTTCGGTCCATTGAAGTGGTCCAAAAGATTATTGAGTTCGCCGTAAAGCCGCTTCACCTCCACAAAATTCCCTCGGGCCTCCTCAAGGGCGTCGGCATACACGGCGCACTGACGGTTCAGTCGCGTGAGTTCATCGTGAAGCGCTAATATTGTGGCATGTTTCTCCTTCTCCCGGATGAGATCCTTGCAGAGGCCAACCTCCAACTCCCTGTGTCCCCCATCCATGCCCTCCGCGGCAACATGCTGCCGCTCCTGCTTCAGCCGCACCCTCAACTTCGAGTTCTCCTCCCGCAGCCTCGCATTCCGCTCACGCAGCTGCCCTATCTCCAAATTCATGCGCTGCCCCCACCCAACAAAAGAAACGTAAAAAAAAAAAAAAAAAAGGCAAAGATGTAATGCCCCACAACAAGCAACCGAGAAAATTGGTGGGTAGGCGTAAAAAAAAAAAAAAAAAAAAACATGCGCTACAGAGCACGAGCACTCCTCCCCTTCGCCTTTTCCCTCCCTTTTTTTGTTGCTGTTGTCGTTTCAGTCATCCATAAAATTTTTTTTTCGCTTGTCGTTGCGGCACAGACACACGAACACACGCAGCCACCCAAAAAAATAAAAATAATAATAATTTTTTTTACTCATCCTTGATGGTGTTCTTCGGCTTTGGACTTTTGGGCACCAAAAAGTTGTCCGTCAACGCCCAACGACGCCTCGACCAGTACGGCCGCCTTTCATCCCGCAGTTTTATGTGATCCGAGACAAACGCCTGCGGATCGTAGGACTCAAACATTGTGTTCGCCTCCAGCGTCTCTCCCTCGTGGCGGTTTGCCAGCTCATTCGGGGTCTGCGTGGAGCTCGCCATCCTCTCGTCAATCACGCGCGAGCAAATGGAGCGGCCAACTGACGGCGGTGGTCTGCCCTGTTCGTCCACGTCCTCGAGGAAGAGGGGAATGGCGGGGTCCCAGTTGCGCTGCTCCGGCGTGCCGGGAACACGCGGCAAAAGACCCCTCGCCGCCTTTCGCTCAACCGCCGCCCCGGCACGAATGAGCTGCACGAGCAGATGGTCCTGGTGGTGCTTGAACGCAAAGCGGCGGCCGCTCATGCTGGCGGGTGTGCCGTCGGCAAACTCAAAATCGGCAATCTCCCGCGTTTGGCCGTACACGCCCGGGCGTCCCCCGTGGCCGTGAAAAAACATCCACTCCGTGTGCGTCTTCCGCATGCGCGGCCTTTGCAGCGGGAACTCGGAGAGTGCAGAGGGGTACGTTGGCTTCTCGCCCGGTGCTGGCCACGGCGGTGCGGCGGTGCCATCGTAATTTGACCGCGCCTCAGAGAAGGCCCGCGTCATTTTGACGGTGGCTGCCGTCGACACGGCCGCTGGACAACGGACCGTGCGAAGACGCATGGTGTGCTAAAGTGGCGACTTTCTACACTGCAAAAAGCCACAAAAAAGCAAAAAAAAGAGAGCGCACGGCAGTGACGGCTCTGCACCATTGGCGTGAGCCGGCAGCCCCGCCATCACCACCACGTCCTCCTTCACACAAACAGCGGCCTTTGCATTGCAGTCCACGCGGTGTTTTTGATGGTCAACGTCAAACAAATAAAAAAAAAAAAAGATGATGAAGATGAAAACACGGCAGGTCCCCGAGAGCCACTTTTAGTTTGACACGTGCCCTTGACGCTCGACAAGATCCGTTAGCTGCTCCAGCGCCGCCTCGCTCACCTCACACTGTTCGTCCCGCCCTGCAATCTCACTCAGAGCCCGAAATGCCATTACACCCACCGCAGGGTCAAGAGACGCGTAACACCAGTGACGATGCACAACCGCGCGGTGGTACACAAATGCGGCGTAATTCTGAAAGTCGTGTCTTAATCCCCGTATGGACCGCTCAATCACCGTCAGCCCATCGACACCGACCAGGAGGCAGCTTCCATGATCGGAAACGGCAAGCGAAAGGCGGAGATACACGGGGGCCGCCTGGTGCCTCATCGATACCGGCAGCGACGGCAGGATGCGCATCCACGTCTGCAACCGCACCTGCAGCGGCACGTGTTCGCAGCCCACAACACACTCCATCGCCGTGGTTGTCGCCACGCCTTGGCCGGATATAAGTTCTAAAGCATATTCCCAATTGACAGGCAAAACTTTTGGAAGAACGCGGCGGAGCAAACCCGCATCCCCTCTCAGATCGCCTTGCAGACAGATGAGAGCCAACCTCCATCTAGTGGGAGGAAGCGCATCCGCCACCAGTCGAGTCATCTTCGCCGTCACAGGCACACCAATCAAATGTTGAAATCGCAACAATCGCAGCGATTCCTGCCACCTTCCCGCCCTCCGCAAAATTGAAAAAGTCGTGTGAAAGAGACGTGAAGACGAATAAACGTTGCACTGCAACACATGACTCGTCAGCAACTGCAACGCGTAGTGCCATTGCCGGTCCACCGAGCGCGGCGAATCCAACAAGACGAAGAGTAACTCTGCGTGCGTCCTGCTCAGGCTCCCTTCAGTGATCGCACCCGTGTTTTTCCTCCCAAACCCAATCAGTCCATGTGCCGCTGTTTCCCCTGCCTGTGCACGAAGCCACAGCTGAATCGCCTCAAGCGGCACATCTGCCGCAGCACAACACGCCAGCAGTTCCGCAATGGACGCGTAATGAAGAGATATTCTCTTCGACACGGCCTTCTCAACGGTCCACAGCGCAGCCTGCCAATGGCCTGCGTTGCGAGTGGCACGTATGATAAGAGGCACCCATGCCTCCTTGTGTTCTTTCACCACTACCCGTAACGCCTCCACCCACCTACCGTGATGCGCCAGAAGCCCCATCAGACCGCGCGTCGCCCCACCACCAACCTGTGCCACAAGCGAACAGGCCTCCATCCATTTTTTACGCCTCACGAGGACTGCTAGCTTTTCCCTTGTAGAAAGTGCTGTACTTGATGCCTCTTCCATCTTCATTTGCGCGAGGAGATCCTCCACCCTAATGCGTTCTTGACGACTAAATGCTGCCGCACGGGAAACAACATGTGCGTAGCATCGCAGCAAGTCTGAGCGGGCATTCATGTTTTTTGCACCAAAAGACAGGAAACTTAGCGCCGCTTCCCACTTTTCCGCTTCAATCTGCCACAAGGACGGGTTGACCTCTGCCTGCAGCGATGTGACGGAGTCATCGGTCCACAAAAAATCTACACCAACAGAAAGGGGCGTCACGCATGGCTTCGCCAAGGTCAAAAAGGCGACATGCACATGGGCAATGGACGGTGCCGCCATACCACCAAGACATCTCAACGCCACAACCCACTGCATATTGCGCGGTGCGAGGGACGCAATGCTCGACAGCCATTTGCTGCTTCTTCTCTGAAGCCACGACGACAACAAAACAAAAACGTCCTCGTGCTCCGGCTGCATCATGACCCTTAGCACTTGCAGGGCCGCAGCACCGTGGCCTGCCGGGGGTTCCATAACAAACTGAACCAAATAATCGCGGTCCTTGCAGTGCCGCAGAACCCAATCAACGACCAAAGCGCTGGTGTCATCTTTACAAAGCACCAGCAGATTCCTCGCACTGGCACACGGGAGGTCGTCCACAACCGGCGGGCTGCGGCCGCCCTGCTGCACAGCCGCAAATAATGCCTCTGCGGCCGTCGTTGACCGCGACGCCTGCACAACCAACAACGGGAAAACGCTAGAAGCGGAAGGCATTGAATGCATCATTAAATCGTCCACCCCAATCCGCTGGCACAACGCCATCCAGACTGTGGCAGACTCCACAGAATCTAAAGAACAACGCCGCAGATGATTGCACCACCACCCCACGTCCTCCTGCGAAATATTACCCCCGCTGAACTGCCGGGAAAAAAGGTCCAGACACAAAATGGCCTCCCTGCGTGGTCGCGAAGAAACGACGACGGTGGAAACGGCATCCTGCAAGCGCCTCCGTTCCGCCTCCCCCAACTCTTCCTGGCAACAACGCATCGCATCGGCCAGATTTTCTTGAAGAACACTTCTGGGCATCGCATCCAAGGCAGCAGCAGGCAATGGCCACTGGCGGTGTGAGCAGCAGTACACAAGCAGCTCACGATAAAACGGCTCCGACGAGGCACTCATTGGCGGTACGTGCGCAAAACAAAGCGTCCACAAACTCGCGTTTATGTGCATCGCCGCATCGGCATACCACCGCGCTACGCAACGGTCTGTTAACCCCTCGGTGCGTAGCGAGAGCAGTGCTGGGAGTGCTGGTATTCCTGTTGCTGCCTCCAAAAATTGCAGAAAACCGCACCGCAACAAAGACGTACGGCGCACCGCACTCTTGTCGCTGTCACCCTCCTCTTCCCTACTCTCTTCCTCCTTCCTTCCCCCACCCGCAGCTTCCGAAACAAGCGTGTGTATCACCCGCCTCACCACCGTTTGGGAAGTTTTCGTTCGTACCCAACCCTCCGCGCACAGTTGCGCCTTCTCAAAGTCACCCGATGCAAGCAGCACTCGGAGGATCGCCTCACAAGCCATGGCCATCGCCTCGTGCTCCTCGTTGGAGGCGTCATCACGTGGTGGTTTAACGTCGCGCGCCATACGCCGTGCCACCCGTCCGTGCAGCATGCCAACCGTTGCTGCTTGCGTGAGTGCCGTCAGAACACGCGCAATGGCCATGTGCCGCTCACGCAATGCCACCTCCCCACGCCGCCCTATCGAGTGCGTCGCCAGCGCTTCCGCGTAAAAACCCGTTGCCACCTCCCAGCAGTTGTCACCACCAACGGACAGCATTGTCGCAATCGTTTCCGCGGCGGCCCTTGACGAGATGACACTCGGGTGCTCCCAGCGTCTTGGGTTGTGACGAGCATGTCGCAGAAGCCAACTGCTGGCCGTGCGGCACCCTGCATGCGTGGTAGATCCGGCCAGTGTTCGCCCCACATGCATAAGAGACCGCCACCCCCAATGAAAACAAGCAAAGGAATCAAGGAGAACACCGGAGTGTCCAAACAAACGCAGAAAAAAAAAAGGAAGGTCCACCCCAAAAAGCTATAAACAATCCCGGCAGCAGCAGCAGCAGTGGTGGTGGTGGCTGCTAATAGCACAGAAAAGAGCAGAGAGAGAAAAAAAAAGAAAAAAAATAAAACGGCACGACCAAAGAATGCAAAACAATCAATAAAAAGCAAAAAACAACGCCACAAAGAAAAGTAAAAAGATAAAAAGACTGAAAGCAAAGGCCTTTAGCAAAGCAGCAGGGAAAAAAGAAGCATCCTCCACAAAATCACTGCAACCAGGCCCTGATAGCCGTGCTGGAATACAATCGCAGCGCGTACTTTGCGTGGGATGGTTTGGCAGACGACATAACCAGGACATATGTCACGTTGGCATCCAGTTTAACTGGCGGCAACGCCACTCCGCACAATTCGTACGGGCCAGATGATGCGATGCGCTCCATCGTTGCAGCATCCTTCGAGCGGAAAAGAGACAGATTGGTAGAAACGTCATTCTTCGTGTCGTCGGCAAGCAAAAGCAACAACCGTGCCGTCAGCACGCATGGATTCGTGGCCACAAGGCAGGCCTTGCAGTTGCTGGAAAAGTAAGCATCGGTCCGCGGCAGCAGCAACATGGACAGTCCGGCCGTGGCACCGCCTATCAGATTCCCCTGCAGCGTCGTCTCCACAAAGCCGACCCCCTCCGGAGGTATCTCACGCAACTCATGCGGTTCTGTCGTTTCCACGACGAGCTCAAATACCGCAGGCACGCCCTTATCCCACAACGCCGGCACAATGGTGTATTCACCCGCGGGTAAAGGCGAAGGCGGCTCGGCCACTGCCTTTTCTTTCTCCTTCCGTCTCTCGCCAAGAAGTTGCCTAGGGTCGAAAGTGACACACCTCCAGAGGCTTGTGTCCACCACCACACCTCCGTGGGCGTACAACGGTGCATGCAAAAAAAACACACACTCCTCATTGAGGGCACTGACCCTGGACGACCATTTTACCTGCTCACGTGCCGGATTCTGTTCCTTCCGTACAAGATGCACCTGCGCCGACACTTCACACTCCGGAACGTTCAGCCGCACCGAAAGCATTGATGGTTTGGAGAGTGTTAGAAGGTACTGGGGATTATACGCAAACGTCTGCAAGCTCGTTCTGCCACCGCAACTTACCCCCTTCTCCCATTTTCCTTGTCGGACGGTGCAGTGCTTGAGTTGGCTCTGCGGAATGAAGTGCATGTAAACACCCGAAGGGGATCGTTTCTCCCCATTCAATTTTATTTGAGGCCACTCTGTATGCAGTGTGAGCGAAAAGCTAAATTCCTCCTTCACTGTGGACTCTATACGGCTAAGAGCAACAAGCAAATTGCTTGTCCCAGCGGGGCAATTAAAACTTAATGTGTGCTCGGCCATGTTCTTGTAGGAGACGTCATGAAGCGGTGTAAATCCCGCCTCCAGCTCCGTTCCATGCGCAAGACGACGGCAGTAACACGTCTCAAAGCTGCAGGACGCGCCAAGGTGCTGTGCGATGGAAGGAAATTGCGTCACGTCATAAACTTTTACCGCCACATACGGTACTTTTGGATCATCCTTTACAAACTGCACTCCAAACGATTCCACGTTGCTGGTGTGACGCGCAAAGACAAGATGCATGCGGGATGGCCTTGGCGCGTTGATGACCCCAATGTGAAACTGCGGCACCTGTCCTGTGCTCATCGTGTATGGGAAGCGTCTATGGCACGACAATCGTGTTGGCCTTTGCGACATGCCGTCTGGCATCTTATAGAGCATGTAAGGGTTCCAGCTGAGAGAACACCGTGAAAAATGGGCACAAAGGTCCTTCCATGTGATCCAAAATACGCCTTGATCGGCCAAAGCCTCCGTGTACTGCAACTGTGCCAGAAGAGCCCTGGACTTCTCTCTCCTGTCATCAACAGAGTACATTCCAGACCAAGACTGGCGACTCCATGGATTTTTGAGCTGTAGGAGACGTTCCCCATCCACCTCTCGTATCATCAGGACTGCATATGCGTGAGAGGCGGCAAGTTTCAACCTCTTCTCCTCCTCCTCTGACAATGTCCCTGTACTCGCCGTTATAAGAACAGATCCATTCACATGTCGTGTGTAGAGCCTCTTCCATTGAAGTTCAGGGTCAAATTCTTTGGACTCAAACGAAACACTGTCAGGAAGCCACCCGGAGAGCTTGTAAAGATCGCTGCTGCTACTACTCCCCGGAAATTCGTAGCTCCCACCGCAGAGCTTAACAAACGCCTTCTCCATGATAGACACCCATAACTCTGTCTCGTCCTTGCTGTATGTACAGAGTAACCTCCCCGTACGCGGGGCTGCGGGAAAACGGTCATCAATGGCAATAAGGCGGGTCATGCCATTGATGAGCATCTTGACACAGTACTTTCCTTTGGGGTTAACAATGGGATCACCATTGTTGTCCTGAGGATAAATGACGTTACTAATGATCTTCCCTTTTGGAAACCGTTGTTGATAGGAGGCGCAGATGATGAGACTGCATACCATCGAGCAGTCCCCCACAACAGTTTGCTTCACATTCAATGGATCAGCAGAGCGAATTATGCAAAGATCGGCATTCGGCTTGATTTCGCCAATTCGAAGATATTTTGCCCCTTCTGCCCGCTGCGATGTTGATAGGCGGGGCGTAAATGGATCCTCCCAGTGGCCCTCACATGGCATAAAGACATTTTCCCTGGCGTACCCCTCCTGTACATCATCCCACATGGGCAGTTGAATCGTATTGGTGATTCCCGACCTCCGCAAAACATCCATCTCCGCTGGGAGCACCGGGTTGTCTTGCAGGAATCGTGGTTTGAAGTGGTTGTAGTACTCACGCCGCAAAAGAACAAGATATTCCTCAATGCGGTGAAAGTTACCGGGCTTGTTGCGCTCCTTATTCCCTACATCATACGCATGCTGCAAGACATCCACCGACTGCTTGTACTTTTTCTGCTGCAACAATGTTGTGGCGATGTCTATGGCCTTCTTGACGGTATCCGAAGCACGCGAGGGAGAAGCCCACGCTAATGAGTAGTCCGACCGCCGTTGCTGCTGTTGCTGCCGTTGTTGTTGTTGTCTTTTCGGCGTCGCTGCATGTACAGGAACGGATGGTGGACGAACGGCAGGCACCACCTCTGCTCGCTTCTGCTCTCTTACGGGTGGCGGTGTGGATGGCATTTGCCTTCTCGAGTCCTGCGGCCCTGGCTTCGGCTGTTCCTGCTGGCGCTGCCGCTGTCGTTCCTCCTCGGCGCGCATGACGCTGCGTATCTGCTGGAGACGACGTGCGGCGTCATGCAAGTGTTCTGTGAGCACCAGCGACTGTGAGTTGCCGAGGGATTTGTCCTGCAGCGCCCCGCGGAGCCTGTGAATCGCCAGCGTGAACCACTCCTCCGCCTCCCGCAGCTTCCCCTGTTGCTCAAGCAGCAAGGCGTTCTCGACACAGGTCAAGGCCTCCACGCTCATCCCCACTCCTCTTCGTCCCTCCACAAATACACGCAATCAGACACGTTCTCTATGTAGGTGCGGCCCGTCGCTCACGTGTCAGTCAGAGAGAGAAAAAAAAAGAAAAAAAAAGCAGTAACATAGACAACAACAAGAAATAAAAAGACATGTGCCCGCTCGAAGACGCAAAATCATCTTCTTCCATTATGTCGCTGCCATTTTCCTCCTCGACCTTAGAGGCACATAAAAACACACAAAACTCCCCGCTTCTTCTTCTTCTCCTTTTATGCGCTCATTCCACGTCAAGGGCCCTATGAATTACGGGAAATACGGCGTCATCATCAAGCGGCTGCCCGGGCTCATATCCGTGCAACGGGCCGTGTGAGTCCCGCGACGCCCATGAGTTCCGCAGGCCATCAAATACGCAATGATCCGGCATGAGGTTCATGGAGTACTGATACGGGCAATTGACTGTGCGGGCCGATGGCGGAATGTAATCAGCGGCCACACCGCACATCGTTGCCTGCACCGCGCTTATGGTGTAGTGGTTCATGAACATAACGCTGCCGGGTTCCAGTGGCTCCAGCTGCACCACCGGCAACGTCCGCAGCGGTTCAATCTTGCGTATCGCCCGTCCCATATCAAAAACACCGCCGGCGTGATAGTGGCTAAAGTCACTGCCGTCATGAGTGAACTCCCGCATGACGTGATGAGAGCCGGGGATGACGAGCATCGGCGTCGCCCGCGGGGCCAAACCCACAGAGACCGTCATGCTGCTCAAACTCCGAAAGTTCGTTGAGTTGCCGACGAAGTGAAACGGCGTGCTGTTCAAAAAAGGGTGGTAGTCGTGCACAGCGTCGTCGAAAAGGCGAATGACAATTTCTCCCGTCAACGCCGCGGCGGCCTCGCCAACGACGGCGCCCAACGCCCCGCCCCCCGGCAGCAGAAGACGCCGCAGCTCCAACGAGTCCGGCCACACGCGGCACCAGCACTTGGACCAATTCTGCAGGTGTTCCAGAGCCCGGTCGAGGTGGTACTCGTGCCGCACCTCCATCTCCATCTTCCCGCTGTCTCTGTACCTCTCAAAACTTTTCTTCACATCCTCGTATGTGTGCTTGCTGCCCAATTCCTGAATGCGCTCATCACTCATCCTCCCGCTGCGCTCCTCCTCATCTGCCACACAGTTCTTCACGTACTTAAACTTCATGTACCTCTCACGCACCGCCGCCAGCTTGGCATACACACGATCCACCTCTCGCGTGTTACGGCACTTCAGCAACACTTTGCGGTATCGCCGCTCCAAAGCCTGCGCCTCGTCCTGACGACGCAACTGCTCCTGTATTTCCGGCGGCGGAGTCTGCGCACCCAAATTGGCCGTCGGTTTTGGTTTCATGCGTGCGTCAAACTCTATGCGGCCGTTGTGCTCATCATCGATGCCAGGGAACACGCGGGCCCCACGGGTCTGCACAACATCGCGGCAAACACGTGCGAGCGTGGCGACAAGATCGTCCGAAAGCAGGCCCCGCGCCACCACCACCCCCATCTGTCGGTATGTCCGAATGCCAGCGGGAGACAACAGCCCGGCGCGACCATTCACATACAACTGCGCCTGCATAACTTCCTTTTCTCCAACCCCATCACCCAAACAAGCAAAAAAAAAAAGAAAAAAAGCTGCGGCCTGTCAAGCAAACATTCCATACAAAAACAACTTTTGGAGTTTATGGAGCGTCTTCCACTTCCTTTTCCTTCTTCGTTCTTTTCCCTAAAGCAAAATAACAATAATAATAATAATAATAATAAAGCATAACGACACCTCTGGACACAACGCACATCCACATGTATATAGCATATCCCCTTTTGCTCCCACCCTATCTCTTTCTACTTCCTATCATTGACGGCGGTGCTGGTTTGTCCTCCGGGCTGTACATAAACGTATACAAAACCGCAGTTGTCTCTTCTCTCCCGCGCTCCGTCTGAGCCTCGGCTTATTTTCCCAAATATTGTACTGTTTCCGTGGAAGCCCAAACCTTTACGTTTGTGTCATGTATGCGCGTATGGTGCCCCACAACCCAATTCCTGTGCTTCGGCACCACAGGCCATAAGACACGGATATCGTGGATAAAAAGGCATAACACAAGCCAAATGCATTTAAAAAGAATTGTAGACAGAAAGAGAAGCAGATAAAAAGACAAACGCATATAAATATACATATAAAATATATATTTTTATTTATACGTCAAAATAATGACTGCTCCCTCCTCAATGGACCTTCTCATTCCTTTCCAAACGCCACAATGCATACTCAAGTTTGCATGCATGGATATATTGACAAAATACGGCACTGCCGGCAACACATACATAAAAACACACACAAGTCACGCGCACATATTTCATTAGGGAAACAAAAAAAAAAAAAGAAGGCCACTCGACACGTCTTGGCGGGTATAAGCTGCGCTCCCTCCCCTCCCCACCCACTGCGCACAGATACGTATATATACATACATGCATCGGATGTACATGTCCTCTTCTTCTTTTATTATTATTATTATTATTACTATTCTATTCCACATCATTGCCTGGGCCTCCTCCCCACACTCGTCTGCCTCCTCCTTCCCTCTTCCTCCTCCCTCGCACCGACGCGTGCCCCCTCCCCCTCCGCAGAAGGGAGTTGACAGCGACAGCAGCACCACCACCAAAAAGACAAAAAAAAAAAAACTCACACATACACACACACAAAAAAAAAAAAAGCATGTAAAATTCCCCCCTCAACACCTTTTGTTTGATTGTTTGTTTGTTTCCTTCTGAGGTTCCTCTCAACATATTTTCACCGTTTTGTTTCTTTGTTTTTTGTTTTGGTCACTTCTCTGCGTGACTCCCTCAAATGGCTGATGTGTGTGCATGCGGCTGCGGCGCTAAACAAAATCACCGCTCTTTCAATTTTAACTTGTTTTTTTTTTTCTTTCTTGCTTCCCGTACTGCCGTTTGCCTCCGGGGGTTATTCTTTCAGTATTTGTTTTGTTTTGTTTTGTTGTTTTCTTCTTTTTTGTGTGTTTTCCTCATTTTACATGCCGTAGACTCTTTTCTGCCGCCACACAGAAACATACATATATAAAAATACATAAATCAACATATATATATATATGCATGTAAACATATAAACGGGAATATTCATTACATGCGTAAATAAATATTATACGTGGCAAACACCCCAAAAAAAAAAAAAAAAAAACACACACATGCACACCAAAGAAACAAAGAGGCAGAGGGACTGAGAGGAGGAGAAAGAAGAGAAGGGCAGAAGGAAGAACACATGAATATACAGCGTTCCATAAAAGCAAAATAATGCATGCATACAATTTTTAACCACCTCCAACAATCACACACACACACACAAATATATACACACACATATATATACATATACATACATACACGCACTCTCCCTCGCTCTCCGTCCCTAAGAAATCGCACAGCTTCCGGTGGAACTTTTTCGTCCACACCTTTTCTTTTTCTTCTCTTTCCTCGTCATTTCTTCTTGTCGCTTTTTGTCTTTTCCTTTTCCTTTTCCTTTTATTCTTCACACATAAAAATCCTCTTTTCTTTTCTTTTTTTTTTTTTGTTTTTGTTTTTGTTTTGTCTTGTCTTCTTCTTTCTTCTCTCCTCGTCACACGTGCTCTCGCCTGGGTTTTGTGTGAGTAGGCCGTTCAAAAGCGAATTATGGATGGTGACGGTGAGAGATTGGGCATGGCAACAGCAAATGGAACGCTCCGCTGCTGTCCAGTTATACATCATCCACGTACGATGGCTGCGCTGCGCCTGTCTTGAGAACATTCTGGTAGTACTCGTACTTGGGGTCATCTGCGCAGCGCTTTAGGACGTCAATGACGGGTCCAAGGCACATCTCAAAGTGGCGGCGGTTTAACTTCGCCGTGATGACATGCGTCGTGGCGACAACGTCGGCGACAGTGCGGTGGTTGTTGAGGAACTCCAACTCGCCAATGTGATCGCCCTGCGTGAATTCACATACTTTAGTCGGCTCCCCGTCCGCGTCGCGACCGATCACCTCCACGGTGCCCTCCATGATGATGTACAGCCACTCCCCCTCCTCACCGTAGTGAATAATGTATTCACCGGGAGAAAACTCTTCGCTGCTTAATGCGTCCGCAAGCTGCAGCTTCTCGTAACTGTCAAGTCCACCAAGGAACGGTACATTTGCAAGGAACTGAATGTAAGTTTCACGGCGGCGAATGGCAGTGCCCATCACCAGGTTGCGGTACGTGTCACGGTCAAGCACCCACGCGATGAGTTCATCTGTGCAAACCTTCACGGTGGCAACAACAGGAGTATCGTACATCAGTTCGAGCTCGCCTACCGCCGTTCCCTCCGTCTTCAGGTAGACCTTCTGCCCCTCCTTTATGATGTCAGCATGGCCGGACTGAATAATGTAAAGTTTGTTGCACGTCGTTTGCCCCGCCTCCATGATGCAGTCATCGTGCTTGAAGGTTGCGCGCTGCATGGCCCCAGCCACCACCTTGATGTCCTTCGTGTTAAGAAAGGAGAAAAGGACATTGTGGGTGAGGAGCTTCGTGATGAGGTTCATCTCATCCTCGCTCTTCTCAAAGTACGGTGCCTGGTACAATTTGGCCTTCTCCGGGTCAATGCCCTCGCTGCGCACGGTGCGGCGGCGGTTTCTGCCACCCCCAATCGTTGTGAGATCCGCAGGGGCCTGTTTCGGCACCCAGACGGGGCCCTCTCCAAAACCCCTTTCTTCTTCCGCCCCTTCAGACGCCTGCGCCTCCCAGAGGGCGATGGTGTTCTTTTCGCACTGCTGCGTGATGCGCTTGCGTAGATCAAAATCCACACGGGTCTCGCTCAGCTCCACGCGGCAGATGCGGCGGTTCACCTGAGCGAGCACAAGCAACTTCCGGCCTGCGTAGTTGGAGATGGGGTTGTTGCTGATGTCAAGGGCGTTGGCAGTGGGGTGCACCTTGAACACCTCCACAATGCGGTCCACCGTGGCGTTCCCCCTAACGCTGTCCTCGCTGAGGTCTGTGTTGTACAGCTTCTGGTTCGAACAGTTCAGGAAGCGGAACGACGGCAGTTTCTCAATGAGATCCAGCACGGCAAGGATGCCGCGGTTGCCAACGTAATTGTGGCTGAGGTCAATCTCCTCAATCTGGCTGGGCGACGGGTTACTGCGGAAGAAATCCATTAATATTGTGTTTGGCTGCTTCACACCCTCCTTGCGGCAAGCTTCAAGAAAGAGGCTAAGCGTGTTTTCTTCCTCCGCCATTGTGTTCTTGTATTTACGACCTTTTGTGGTTTTCCTTTTGTTCTTTCAGTACTTCGCGGTGTGCTTTGCGAGAAAAAAAGAGAGGGAAAGAGAAAGAGAGTTTACTTCGCTTCCTTGACACCCACTGAGCGTGTGTGTGTGTGTGTCTGTATGTGTGTGTGTTGGTTTGTTGCTTGAAGGCCACGCCCCACTGCGGAGAAAAAAAAATATATATATGGGAACAGAAGAAACAAAAACTCAGCTGACACGCTAAGTGAAGAGGCATGCACCACCAAAAATGCAGAAAAAATTTAAAAAAAGGGAAAAAAAAAAGAAAAACACAAACAGGAAGAGGAAGACACCGGGGAAAAAAAAATGTTTACCCAATGACTTCAGTAGTGAAAAAGTGCGATGCTGTACGGGTGGCAGCCGTCAGAACCGCGGCACCAAAACTGCTGGTTGAAGCTGCCAGGCTGATGCTCCCGCTGCAACACGTCGCGCTTAAACAAGAGCACCGAACCAATAAACTCCGCCGGTGGCGGCACGAAGCCCAACGACCCACCAGCAATGTCGATACCGCTGTTGTAATAATGGTTGCTGCCGCTGCTGCTGCTAACGTTATTGTTGATATTATTATTATTGTTGTCGGTACTCTCATTCGCCGCTGTCCGACGCTTTGGGCAGGTCGCTGGGACCGCAATCGCAGGCGTCTTGCGCGCGTAAAAACAGCGCTCGTCATGGAATAAGAAGAAGCGCAGGTCATCCTCGTGTATGTAGTGGCCACCCAACAGGACCTTCTCATGGACGACGCTGAAGGGCACCGTGGAGGCCACATTGTCGTCGTCCTCCGCTGCACTTGTTGCCGTGGCCTCAGTGTCAATAGACGGGGACGCGGCACTTTGCATCAGAGCCTCCGTCACACGTCGCCGCCAGTAAGAAAGCAGCAGCGCCTGTCCGTGGGGCGAGAAGGGACGCGATATCGCCCCACCGCGCCTGCCGCACGCCGCCTCACACCCACACAGTCGCTGACGCATTTCCGTCAGAGCATACGCGACATCCAACATGAAGACGGCGACGCCCTTCTGCTGAAACATCGGCAGTGTGAGTATGCAGGAAAGGCAGTGGTCCGGGCGGTGTTTGATGCGGCTGAAGTAACCAACAACGACGTCGCCGTCCCAATGCGCCGCGTCAAAGCTGGCCGCCTCACGCCGAAAAGTCGTTTCCTCCATCTCTCCAAGAACATACGGCAACGACGCCCGCGGTGCGGTGACAACGAAAAATTCGTAAATGTCCACATCGCTCCCCAGCTGCTTGCTCTCGATGAACGCCTTGCCGAGAAGCGACAAGCAGCGACCGTAGTGCAGATGTTTGGCTCCGTCGACGTAATAGACACGCCGGCCGCAGTCCTTGTCGTCGTAGAGAAGAATGCCGGGTGGGCGGCGAAATCGGCAGTAGCCACCGACAAGATGTTCATGTAGGTGTCGCTGGGAGACAAAGGGCGACATGCAGCGGTGACACACCGAGACGGAGTAGCACAGTTGGCGCTCTGGCATCTGCATGTACTGCAGCGAAGCAAATGGGCTCTGAAACCACGGCCGTGTCGCGTAGCAGAGATACAGCACCTCACATGGGGAGGTGTCTTGTTCCATCGCCGTGCGCCACTCCCGCTGCACCGGCACCAACGCCTTCTCGTCGATTTTATACAAAAATATCTCGTCGTACCAGCCGTCAAAGGTGTATTTAAATCCCCCAGCGGAGTTGAGGGCGTGTGTGCCTACAGAAAGCTCTTCTCTTCTCTCACGGCGCGGATGCACGAGCCCACCACTCCGCTCCGTTGCTACACTACTAACAGGGCGCTCAACGCGCAGCGTGTGAAAGTAGTACAGCACCCGGCCGGGGTCGTCCATATGCCGTCGCTCGCCCACAACAACACCAAAGACATTCGCGCACGGGCCGCTTTGCCTCGCCGGGGACGAGTCCCACGTAGACACGTCGAGGCGGCACTTTTGCCCCTCACACATTGTCATGGTAACAAGGGAACAAGAAGAAATCGCCCCTCCCCCCACCTCCACCCCAAAAAAAAAGCGGACCTTTCCGTCAGCAAATACACGGGAAGGTAAAAGCACAGAAAAACAAAAAAAGGATAAAAAAAAATGTTGGTGCCAACGGCTGTATTAGCAGTGAAGACAACAATATAAACATGATATACATCCCTTTTGACACCAGAAACACATACATGTATCCATGCATGCACAGAAAGAAACAAAAAAAAAAAAGTTTCTCTGGAAAGTAAGAAGAGTAAAAAAGATGACGGACATAAAAAAAAAAAAAAAAAAACGGTGCCTAGAGGCTCATGAAGGCAAAACTGCGCTGCATTGCATGCGTGAACATGTCCCCTCCCCCTTTCTTGTTCTCTGCAACCCAGATGTATTTGTGTATGTATGAAAGGTTGTGCAAGTAGCTTGAAAATGCCGAGTCTATGATGATGGATGCACTATGCCGTCTCTCCAAGCAGATGAGCCACAAAACGTGTCTGCGGGTCGTCCGCGCCGTACAACCGCGTGCGTATCTGCAACGCATTTCGCAGCAACGCCGCAGCGCGCCGCTGGTGGCCCAATTCCGCCGCAATCACTCCCTGCGACAGCAATGCAGAGGCGTAAAGTGGATGCCTCGGGCCAATGTAACGCCGACGTGTTGTCGCCACAACCTCCATGAGCCGCAGCGCCCCCTGCAGCTTTGGCCCGCCCATCAATCGGTACAACATTGCCACGTGCTCCATCGTAAGGGCGAGTTTCATGTCTGTTACTCCGGCTGAGTCCTTGTAGCGCACACGTATCTGCATAGAACGCATGTACACAGTGAGGGCGTCTGTGTATCGTCCGACAAGCTCGCAGCAGACGCCGCTGTTGTGCAGCACCTCCGCAAGCAGAAGTCGGCCTGCGCCGCCGACGTTATCCTCCAGTCGCCGCTCCGCCTCTTGCAGCAGCTCGTACGCCCGCCCCACCTCCGACAATGTGCCGCCCTGCAGGCGGTATCGCTCCAGCAGAATAATCGCCCTGTTTAGCCGCGACGTGACGGCGCCGACGTGCGACGCGCCAAGGTGCTCCTCCACAAAACAGCAGCACGTCGCGACCAGCCGCTCCGCCTCCAAAAAGTCCTCCGCGGCGCAATAAACGTTCGACAAAAGCAGCAGCGCCTCGGCAAACGACTCCTCGTCGTGCGGCTCCGCTGCGTGGAGCGCCTCCTCCGCGATTTCCCTCGCACGCGACAAATCGCCGCTCTCGTACAGAGCCGCCCCCGTGCGAAGAAGCGCCGCCGCTTTCTTTGCCGACATCGCCACCACCACCTCTGCGCCCCCGCCAAAAATGAAGCTGCCGGCCACAATTACACTGAAAGAAAGGAATAAAGAGAAGACATCCCACAGAAAGAGTTTTTAAAAAGAATGGCACACGGAGCTCTAGAAGGAGGGGGGGAAAAAAACCGCAGCTGCAGCACGGCACGCCCAGACGCCCGAGTACACACAAAGAAACAAAAAACAAAAAAAGCGCGTCTGTAGCCCGCCTCTCAGTGACATCGCCGAGATGCATAAGCACCAGAAATATACGGATAGCAGAGCCCCTACCCCTCCTTCTCCCTCGCTTTGATAGAAAAAACAAGCAATCTAAAATATATATATATATATATAGAGAGAGAGAGGGAGAGAGAAAGAAAAAAAGAGAGAAAAGACCTCTTTCCGCTATCAGCAGCAGCCTAATTGCCTCGTTTTTTTGCCTGGCTGGCGGGCTCCAATCACGCCGCCGTCCCGTACGGTGTTCTGGCTGTTCGCAGCAACCAAGCGACGTGCTATCTTCTCGAATATATCACGCACTCTGCTACCGTCCTTGGCACTTGCCTCAATAAACATCAGGTCCAATTCCTTCGCGTATGCCGTGGCTTCCTCCGCGCTCACGTTGCGTCTGTTTGCCAGATCGCTCTTGTTGCCTACAAGAGTAATAATCGTCTCGGGTGAATTTGCTGCAAGCTCCCGCACCCAATACTTCGCCCGTTCAAATGTCTCGTACAGCGGCAACTCGTAGACGACAAGTGCCGCCGCGGCGCCGCGGTAATACATGGAAGCGAGGCTTTTGTACCGCTCCTGTCCTGCTGTGTCCCAAATGTCAAAGTTCACGGCGGTGTCATCTACGGGGCAGGAGTAGCGGAAGAATGAGGCGCCGACGGTTGAGTTTTGGTTTTCGTTCCACTCATCCTTCGCAAGGCGCTGCACGAGTGAAGACTTCCCCACACCACTGTCTCCGAGCAGGACAACTTTGTACTTCTTGGAGGTAGCAGGGATGGACGTCATCCCCTGTTTCAACGCAGACAATGTGTATGCGTGTATGTGTTTATTTGTGCGCTGGATGCAAGCCGATGGATGGAGTTTAGTGCGGCGCAGCTGCCACCACAATTACGACGGCGACAATAACGACTTCCCTCTTTCCCTTTCCCCTTCTCTTTCACTTTCACTTTGAGTGGTGAATCCCCCGTGTTACAAGAAGTTTTATTCCACCACCGTCCTCTTTGCTGTATTTATTCGCTCGGTTTCTTGCTTGAGCTCTCAGCCGCCGCGCCAAGGCAAGTAGCGAGGAAAAGAGAAAAAAAGGAAACAATACAAACACGCATGAGACCTCCAAAAAAAAAGCGCGCACACAAAAAAAAACATAAAAACTCATTCTGCGGATAATAGCGGAGCGCGAAGAATGCCCCCAGAGAAAAAAAAAAAAAAGAAGGGCAACACACGTTACGGTACGATAATGCCGGACTGACAGCCTGCAGTTCAACGGCGCCGTTCTTCAAGTGCCGTCAACGCATGCTTCGCAAGGGCGTCAATGGTGTGCTGCGGCAGTCCGTGGCGGCGCACAAACGCTGCTGCGATTTCATCCACGTCATCCCCGTCGCGCAGCGCCAGACGGTCCACCCGGCCACCTCCCACTTCAACGCTAAGAACGACATGCGGCACGGAATCCGTCGTGGAGGCAACCGACAAGTCCAACGCTTCGTTCCTGCTGTTGCGCTCAATGAACGACGGCAAGCCCACTCGATTCGCCTGCGTGTCAACAGCTTCCGCGTGCTGCTGCAGCGCCGTCATCGCCCTCGCCCGCAATTCGCGCGCGAAGGCCCCCACCGCCTTCACAGCAGAAGACGACGCTCCGCGCCGCTCCGCCTCGAGCAGCACCTGCCGTTGGGCATTGAGCTCCGCTCGCCGCAGCGCACTCTGCACGCGCTGCTGCTCCGACACTCGTGCCAGCCGCAAGTCCCGTTCGACGCCACGCAGCTGCTCCTCCGTGAGCTGCAAGTCCGTGTAGAAGCGACCAAGCGCCAATGCACGACTCTCCGCGGCCTGCAGCAGCACCTCCCGGAGATCCGCCATGTCGTTGGCGCACATCAAAAGCCCCACAAATCTGTCCGCGCCACGCATGCCGGTGCATCCAGAAGCCGCGCAAACGCACAGCGCGGTGTTTTCGGGGCGGCAAAAAAAAAAAAAAAACAGAATAAAAAAAAAGGCAGTGCAGAAAAGCCCCAAACAAACACACAAAAAAAAAAAACCGACGCAAACAAACACATGCGTTTGAAACGCGTCCATCCCGCAAGACTCCGCAAAAGCCCACCGCTGTGTCACCAGCATGGCAGGCAAAAACTGACTGAAAAAAAAGCAGAAAAACACTCGCCATGTACGTCAAAAGCAACAACAACAACAACAACAACAACACACGCAGAGCCTGCCATGACAGGAAGTAACAGGCAAATAAACAGCTCACAAAAAAAAAAAGAAGTCACAAACAACGACAGGAAACGCACTAATCCAGAAGAAAAAAAAAAAAAAAGAAAAAGTGGCACATGAGGACCCCCCGTTCAATACCCTCACCACGATGATGATGCTGCGACGAGGCGTTGACGTCTTTCGTGGCGTCCACGTTTCTTCTTTTGGTACGGGTCAGGGACTCTGCGCAGCCCACGCATGTGGAACAACCGACGCGCCACAAATCGCCGCCGCACTGAAGCAAAAAACATGACGAAGGCGGCAGCCACCGCCACCACACCGACGCCAACAAACAACAGCGGGCCCCATCGTGCCCGCACAACGGGAGGCACTTTTTCCGCGACCCTCCAGACAAGAAAATGCTCTACGATCGGCACAACGGCAACTTTAAGCGAGAAGCACGCAGAAACTGAAAGCACATCCAAATGATAGAGGGCATAAAGATACATAACATTGAAGAAGAGGTCCTCTGCCGCTAGTAGGCATGAGTGCATGGCATTGGCATGTTGGAAACCGGCAATGAGGCTGTCCCCTACACCAGAAGACATCGAGTAGCCATAGCAAACGCCCATGATAAAAGTAGTAAAAAAAAGTTCAATCCCTACCGCGACAGTGAGACCTGTCGTACTACAAAGACCCCGTTGCAAGCCGTACGCCATAACCAGAAAAGCGGTGGCAAAGAGAAGGCTACCACCGCTCATGAGTAGATTCCCGTATATTGTGTCGCGGAGCCCCATCAGCCGCATACCATCAACGTTGCAGAGCACATTGCCAACAATGAGCATAATCGATCCACATACTTCAACCAAAAACACCATTTGTGCCCGTGAAACACGATAGAAGAGAATCCACAGGCAGTGCATCACCGTTGTCGTGAATAGAAGTGAGGAGCCAGACATTTCATTTGTCAACACCATAGAGGCAGCGGCGAGCGAGAAAAAAAAAGAAGATACAAGTGTCACTGCGAGGCTTTTCATGCATACACCAAGTGGCTCCGCGGTGACAGCAACGAGGCTTCTCACGCCATCACGCCACGCGCCGCACAACAACCACAGCAAGCCGTACACAACAGAGAAAAGGGAGCGGTAGGTGTATACCCAATGCGCAATAGGGATGGTATCGTGGGTGGTTGCGCTACCCACTTTAGCAAACCAATCAAGATGTACCTCAAAGACCGTCTCCAAAAGAAACCCACACAAGAGTGCAGCCCAACTGGACCAATGCTGACGAAACTGCAGTCCAAAGTACACCTCGTTGTTGACACTGTACACGCACACGCTAGTCACGACACGGCTACCAAAACGAATTCGACGCGGTGGCTGCGGCGATGGCGATGGCAACGGTGAAGGCGCGTTCGCACGCATTAATGGCTCTGTCGATGGAATTGGAGATAAATGAAGGCCGCTGCCGCGAGTGCTAGATGTCGAGAGAAACACAATGGGTGCCGTCACAGTCTCGGTTCCCGTCCCCTCCCGTATTTGTTGTTCCCTTTCCTGACTACTTAAATTGGAGTCCTCTACGGCAAACGACAGCAGTTGCGTCTTGCTGAGAGCCTCCTTCGAAAGGTGCTGTCGCAGCACACCAAACATATCACTTTCATTCCCCCCGCTTCTGTTGTCGGCATGATTGCTCTCATTGTCATGATCGACGTAAGAAAAGAAATCAATGCCGCTGCAGTTGTTGCGGGTGCCATTATTACTGTCATCACCCCTGTTGAGGCTGGTGCTACCGGCAGAAGAAAATTGTGAGCGTAAACGGTTTTCAGGAGCGGTATAGCCGCCGCCGCCGCCGCCGCCCAGCCCATTCTGCAAGGCCCGGAGGAGATCCTCCACCCTAACGTTCATCTGAACAGCAATCTGGTCTAAGTCCACAAAACTACTATTACTACTACATCCACCAGCATCGTTATCATCGTTATCATCGTTGTCCCAATCATCCCCATTCACAGTGTTGTCAATGAGAGGCACCTGAGCCGCGGAAAACGGCAACTGTGAAGGAAACGGGGAGTCTCTTCCCGAGTCAATCACAGAAGAAGGCACCTCCCTCTGTGAGAACCCGTTCTGCATCGCGACGGCTCCTGTTCCAGCCAACCACCGTGGATGGATGATAACGCCAGGAGGAAAAACGCAGGGGGGCTCTTCCCTCCGAAGAAGCGGCAAGGTGTGCCAAAGCAATGCCCAATAGCCTTCAAAAAGCCAAAAAGAAAAACGTAAGAAAAATATGAAAAAAACAAGGGCACGCGTGCATCCACGCAAGTACACGTAAACACACCCACTAGAGTGAGAGTCCAGCAAGTGCCCACAGGCTCACAGAGCAAATAATAAAAAGGGAATGCCCCCACCCAAAAAAAAAAAAAAAGGAAAAGAAACATTGAAAGCAAAAGCAATCGAATTAAGCATCAAAATGCTATCACCACAGATACACAACAAAAGAAGCAAAGATCAGCATAGGCATACATTGAATTAAATCACTTGATTAAAAATAAAACCAAAAAAAGCAGGAAAAGAAAATGTTTGAAAGAAGAAAAAAAAAAAATTTTGCCGTCAGGAAATAAAGTCGTCGCTCAGGCGTTTCATCTCCTCCTCGAGTTGTGTGAAGAAAGCCATCGAGATGACTGCTATGCCAAAATCACAAACACCCCACCCGTCATGGCCCCCGGCTCAAAAGGCTCTTCAGTTGTTTGGGTGCCGACATGGCAGCAGCGCAGTCCATTTGGTGTACTGGAGCGGCATCACGCATGCCAGGTAGTGCGTTGCGCAGCGTGATGGCGGGCGTTGCCAGACGAAACCGCGCCAATTCCCCGGAACCCGCACCACTGACATCATCGCTGTTGTGGTTATTATTATTATTGTTGTTGTTGTTGTTGCTGCTGTTGGGTGTGTGGTGGCCATCGTCTCGCGGTCGCTTCGATTGGCTCCATCCCAAGGGTGTCGTTGCACGAGAACCCATCGCGGGGGATGACAGCCAACCACAAATCGCCGCATTGTTTGGGCTTGGCACCACGCCGTTCTGCAAAAAAACAGGCATTGCCCGCGACGACATCCCCTGCCCGCCAGAGCCGTATTTAACACCGCTGTTATCCCCAGCAATATGTGAATCCGCAGTGCGCTGTGTCATCTGTTGTTGCTGTTGCTGCTGTTGGGCGTAAATTTGACCCTGCAGTCGCTTGATCCTGTTGAGAAGATTTTCTCGCTCTGTCTTCGCGGCGCTGATCTGAGAGGCCATGCTGCGGTTGCTTTGATTGAGGGTCGTCACAATTTCTCGAAGACGCTGCAGGGTCTGCTGCTCCTGTCGCCGCTGAAACTCGAGCGTTTGTGTGGCAAATGTCAGCAATCGTTGGGGATCTCGTGCCATGCGTTCCTGCACCTCCTTTGGGAGAGCCGCTCCTGCCTTGACGGCTTTGCACGGCTTGCGGCATCGTGGACACTGCCCTGGGGGGTAGCGGGCCGTGCAGCGAGTGCAAAGGAAGTGCTGGCAACTCGTGAAAAGGCCGTCTGTGTCGCAGTCTGAGCAGCAGATGATGCAACTGGGCCTAAAAGGCATGTGCGTGGGCCACAGCAGCTGGCTGCCTCTACCGCTTCCTCCTCCTCCTCTATTTCGCTTTAGACACCCTCCTGTTCCCTTTTTTTTTTTCTTTGCGACGGATTGCCCCCTTTGGTGTTGCCAACACATGTGTGTGTGTGTGTGTGCAACATGACAGAAAAAAGGGAGTGAAGAAAAAAAAAAAAAACAAAGAAGACGGACAAAGATGTCGCAGCGCTCCACACTGAAAAAAAACAGAGAGAAAGACAGAAAAAAATTAATTTTAAGAAAAAAAGACATCATCGCTAATTTTACATCGCCGCTCCCGTGATGCCAAGAAGCAAAACAAAAAAAACAACGCCTCATTCATCCTCCTCCTCTTTTTCTGCGCGGCTCGCGGCTATTTGTTGTTGTTGCTGTTGCTGCTGCTGTTGGCTGTTGTGGTGCGCCGCAATGACATCTCGAAAGTCCCGCAGACAATCGCCAATCACGTGCAGCTGGAACAATACATCAGCCTCCCTCACATCAAACTTCCCCCGACCAGAGTACGGCGCCGTCCACGCAATGCAGCGGTCGTAGAGATTTTTGCACGCCATTCGGACGTGACTTACCGTGCGAGAGGTGGAGCTTCGCTGGTTGATGCATCGTTCGAGCTCATCCTGCTTAATTTTTATGCTCTTCTGCATCGTCTCGTAGGTCGCCTGCAGCTCATTGAGTTGATTCTGCAGTTCGACGCTCTCGTTGTTTTTCTTCTGGCGCTTCAGGTTCAGAGAGTTCTTATTGCGCAACAGTTCCTCCTCCAGTTGCGTCTTGCGCCGCTGCAGCACCTTCGTGTTATCCTGCAGCGTGTTCCAGCGCTGAATGATGTCGCGGGGACTTTGGTACTCGTCGCAGTCGTTGCGCTGCAGCACCCCCTCAAGGTACTGCTGATACTTTGCGTAGGCATCGTACTGGTGCCGCAGCTCCTCCCGGCGTTTATTCAAACTGTCCAACTTTGCCGTAAGCTCCACGATCTGTTCCTCCCGCTCCCTTTTAATGCGTTCCTCTGTGGCGGCCTTTCGCACCGCCCGCCCCCGCCTGATTTCATTTTCTTGAATGAATTTGTAGTACTGCACAAGTTTGTCCTGCAGCCTGGAACGATCCGCCGCGATGACATCCTCGACCTCCCGCACGCGTGCCATGCGCACCATATACAACTCTCTTTTTTTGTCCAACTCCTTCTGGACCTCCATCACAGCCCGACGCAACTGCGTCGCCGCCGTGATGCTCTCAAGTGTACCCGCCATCCTGCGTGCTCTAATGTGTTGTAATGTGTCTCCTTCGTCACCCCTTCTTTGGCAAGGCTACCACTGCCACCAATACTTCTCACTGCTGAAGACGGCAGAGAGAGTGCAGCGAGGCGATACGTGGTGTAAAGGAAAAAAAAAAATGACAAGGGATCCAGCAGAGCTTATGCATGCATACATGCGGCTGTATGTGTGTGTGTGTGATGTGCTTTGATATTGATGTGCATGCCCGGCCCGCAGAAAAGAAAAAGTACCGACCAGATGAACAGAAGTCCGTGGTTTTGTGGCAGGCTCTCACATGTCGTCCTTGTTCACTTCCCTCAAACACTCTCGTCGTTTCTCTTATTCCTCTCTTGCATGTCGTTGTGCTCTTTTTTTTTTCCTTTTTTTTCCTTTACCCGCCTCATTTTCATTCAATGTTTCCTTTTCTGCCTTTCCGCTCTTCTCCGTGCCTCCCCCCGCGTCCACACGTGCAGCCACCATCAACCCATCCACCTCGGTAGGGCGGCCGCCGGGCCTTCAATGCTACGAGTGGTACGAGGGCATAAATATCACCGACTGGTCCGACGCCTCCACCGCCGCCAGCAGGGAGCCGCGGGTGAAACCGTCAAACACCGCCAAGTGCGCCGCGTCAAGCTCCGCCACGCCTACAGGGATGAGTGTAAACGCGCCGCCACGGCGGCCGTAGTGGCACACAAGCAAATGACCTGTCTCCAGCGCAATGTAAAGACGTCTGTCGCTACACGCCATTCGCCGCACGTTGCCGCCGATGCCACCGGCAATACCCGTCGACACAAGAGCAATGACTTGCACGCCAATGAACGGGTTGGCGTGCGCTATAACAACCCCCTCCACGTGAGCGCACTGGAGGAAAAAGTGATTTGGCCCGAGTGCCTGCGCCTTCGTCATCTTCAGCACCGCTGCTGCGGTGGGAACGACAGACTCTACGCAACTCGGAAAGGCGATCATCACAACGACGCTGGCGCCGCACACGAGCTTCACGGCAAACGTGTCATCATCGGCGAAAAGAACGTCCTCCGTGGCACCCTCAACCGACACGTTCTTTCTAAGCGAAGAGTTGGACGGTGGCAAGCGTATATCGTGAAAGTGTAACGCGATGTGCTCCGTGCTGCCGCAAGCCAAATATCGCCCGTCGCGGCACGAGAAGCTAATGCACGTCGTCGGCACATGCGTGGTGCAGCGGTAAAATAAACAATGCGCCTTGCGGTCCACGTCATCCTCTTCTCCTGCGCCCAGCCCCTTTTCACTGTGACCATTATTACTCCTGCCATAGACGGTGACGACGGGAGAGACGCCAAAGGAGAGGGACCAAACCAACGCACCGCCATCGCAGCCGACCGCCAGCACATCACGCGAGAGCGGCTTCCACGCGACGCAGCGCACGTGGCGCTGAAAGGCGTGAGTGAGCACACATGTCTCCTTCCCTTCCGCGACGTCGTATACGACGACCCGCGAGCACCCAGCGCCCTCGTCAACAGCGGCTGCCAGCACCATACGATCGGGGTGGAACGCAACAGCGGTGACGCACTCCGGGCAGTCGGCAGCATTCAACAGACGCGGCGCGCAGTTTGCAGACGCCGGCACAACGAACGGAAATACAAATCGCAAAAGCGGCATGACCGATGCAAGAGGGCGGAGTAACCACCGCACCACCCCAAATGTCTGCTGCTTCTTCCACCACGACAACGAAAACACCGATGACGACAACGATGATGGCTTCTCACGCCCTGCACGACGGCCAAGAACGTTTCTATTTGCGAGCTTCCATAACGGATACACTGCACCACCTTGCGCCTCAAATGAGACACGTTTGCTGCTGCCGTACAAAGACCCCGCGGCCTCACCAAGCAAACGGTCCCCGGCGACAAACACGGCGGCGGCCTCAGAAGGCAGCTCAAGCAGCGGCTGGTACATTTGGAGGCTTTAATATGAAATGTTATGTGTTGTCAAGCCAAGTGAGCACAAATGAAAAAAAAAAAAAAAAGAAATAAGTCAAACCAAATGCAGTACAAACATGTATATAAAGAAGGAGATGGATAGCGATGCATAAGCACATGGATACATTAGAAAAGAATTGGCCTAGTGGTAGTTACAAAAACGAAATACAGACAAAAAAAAAAAGGAGATGTTGTTGTGATTTGACCAGCGGCAGACGCCCGCTACCGCTATTGTCCGTAATTGGAGTCACTGCACATTAATAATTCTGGCGTTAATTGCCTTTTTCACTTTTTCGTCTTGCCGCGTTTGTTCCCACCCTTCGACTGCTGCTGCTGCTTCTGCTTCTGCTGTCTCCCCTTCCCCGACTCTTTATTCGACTCCTCCAAAAGCTCAGCCACAAGCTTAAGCTGCTCCTTCTCCAAGTCTGCGGTGTCATTCTCGCCCCGCTGTCCGCCCGCCGAGGATGAGGACGGCGGTGGCGGCGGTGGCGCTGTCCCTCCGTTCCGCTGGAGCGCAGCCATTCCAGTTACTGCGGCCGCGGCTGAGTTTTGTTGGCGCACGAGCTGTCGGTTTGCCGCCACATATAACCCCGGATTAGGTCCTTTGAAAAACTTCTTCATGTGGAACGCGTCCTCTTCGTCCACGTAGTACCCCTTTTCTACGTTGGCGCAGCGGAATCCGAGGGTCTCTTGGTACAAGTGTAGGGCCGCGTCGTTGGTCTTCCGCACGTGCAGGGAGCAGTAGTTGGCGTCATACTCCTTTTCCATCTCCTTCATTGAGGCCCGCATCACACGTGACGCGATGCCAAGGCGACGGTGAGTCCGAAGCACCGCTATGCTCGTGATGTGGCCGTGAATGTTTGCCGGCTTTTCCTCATCCTCCATCTTGGCAAGAACGTACCCGACAATGTTACGATTGTAATCCTCCTGCACGTACAGCAGCTGTGGCCATGAAAGTATGTGGTAGAAGTAGTACCGCAGGTTGTAGTTCTCGGGCAGACACCGCAAGTTGCAGTGCTGCATCTGGTACATGTCCTCCATCGTGGCGCGACGGATCTGCATGCTGGACAAAAGGAAAGGCGTGCTGGTTCAAAAAAAGAAAAAAAAACAATCTTCATCCAATGGAATTCGCAGAAAAAATAGATGGTGAGTAGAAGGCTCGTGTGGGAATGAAAGCACACACGCACACACACAGAGTAAGACCGCAGCACACACCACAATGGCCAAAGTTTTAAAAAAGCCAAAAAGGTGTTCGCCGACAAAATAAACAAGGGGCATACAAGCGACATAAGGCGTCGGTCAACTCCCATACAAGCAAACGTACCACCTCATACGAAGAGAGAGAGAGAAAGAGAGAGGAAAACGACAAAATAAAAGTGTACAGTCAGCCAATGCCTCCCTCGCCCCTCCAATGCCACACACCCACACACACACACACACATACACACGTCAACCAGTTATTCCTTACAACTCCATGATGCGCCACGGGCCATCGCGGGAGACGGTGCAAAAGTAGCACTCACTGTATTTACACGCCGCACCGGATCTACTGAACGGACTTTGAACCTCCCCGTCGCAAGGCACCAAAACACGACGCGCCACAATCACCAACGATGCCTTGAGAAACTCCAGCGCCACATGACACGATGCATCGCTTACAAGTCCGCTCACCTTTAGTCGCTGCACCAGCTGTTCCTTGGTGATACCAGGGAAATGATGCACGAGACTATAGAGGGCAAATAGAAAAGAGCGCCACACAAACTCATGAAACGAACCATCCACATGATGGAAAATGCTCGGAAATCGTGGCAAGGGTAATCCTTCATTCTTCGGTGTTGCGCTCGCAGAGCGCGCCATTATCACCTGTTCTACGGACGGGGCGGAATCAACAGGGATGTCGCGCAGCTCGAGATGGTTCAAATGCCGCCATGGACGAAGAAGAGCACGCGCAGGATACGGCTCTGTTTTGGTTCGCGTTGATGTCGCTGCCGACACCGCTTCAGGAATCACAGCCGCATTAGCTGCAGCCACACCAGGCGGAAGTGTTGTCTTTGGTGCAGCAGCTGGGTGTGAGGGCCATGCAAAGCGTGGCAGCCGCAGCACACGGAGTCCCTTCTGCTCCCGAATCTCCTCTGCAAATGAGTCCAAGTTCATTGACGGCTGCTCAACAAGGCGTGGAGCCTGGCAAAGCGGGTCCCTCCCAGTCGTGTTTTCCGTCACTGCAAACGGAGGTACACACCATCGCTGGCAATTCGGCGGTGATGTGAAAAGCAGAGAGGTGGTGATTTCCTGCAAAAAATTAGAGGCCCTGCTCTGGCAGTGAGTAACCGTTGTCGCCAATGTCGCCGGGACAAATGTGAAAATCGGCGACAATTCAATGCGCGGTATTCGGCCGGAGCCACCCGACCGTGTTCGGAAGGAGGGGAATTTGAATAGCCAGTCGATGCAGCGCAACTGCTCCTCCTCTGGAAACTGTGCAAGTAAAGCCTTTGCCGCAATGGCATCGTAATGTGCCTCGTCAGTTAAAAGGATCATCCGCAAGACATCCTGCAGTGCCTCACATGGTACCCCGTGGGAGGCGTCCATGGCGCTGTTTTCCTGTATGGCAGGGCCAGTGGGTGCACCATCTTCCTGCTCAGAAGCTCTTTGCTCCCCATCGTCGGGTGCCAATGAAAAATTGGGCGAAAGCACCGACGTCATCACTGAGTGCACCGCAGGCGGCATCCCGCTTTGCTGTTGTCTCTCGATAACATTCATGAGAACCTGTATCAATGTCTGGATACTACCATGAACACGTTTTCGTTGCGGGTCGTAGCGGGAGGAACACAATTCTTTACTGTAGCCTCGCACGAGCCTCTGCAGGTTTGCAAGGCCAAAGTATGGTTGTTCCGACTGGAGAATAGCTCCGAGTGCCTCGGCCATTGTCACACCATTCACCTCGATGCGACGCCGCGTGCAAGAGGCACGATGACCCTCGCCACGTCCCTTGTTGGATTCTTCCACCTGTATCACGTCACGGAGGGTGCGTTTCCGCGCGCGCACAACTCCTTGACGCTGCAGAACGTGTTCTGCGAGGATGACAGGGTCTATGCGTAGCAGTCGTGAGAGGGCAATCAGCTGTGCATTCGACAAATTCGGTTCAGTTGCCACAACCTCACTGATGAGCTCCATAGCGCGAAATGGCTCATGCGTCACTGCGGCAGTTGTCCACGACTCGCTCCAGAAATTCAGCACCGCGCGACACGTGTCTTGTGGAGTCATGTCAGTACCGTCGCAAAATATGTGCTGGCGGCGTCGCTCATCCAAAGCGGTGGAAACAAGTGCGATGGAAACCTCCGCAAGCGGCACGTCCAAATAAGCCACGAGAGACCTTTCACACACCAGGAGACCTTTTGACTGCAAACCGGCGAGGGAATGCAGCAACGGCTGCACGCCAGACCGACGACAGCGAGTCTGCAGCGAGGGGGGAAGCCGGCAAATTGGTGTTCCCCACAAACATGACTCCATTGATCTTCCGCCCACATACTCGCCCACATCAACATCCGCAACGCCGACGATGATGCAAAAAGAACTAAAGCTCATCTCATGCAGTACCCGCTCAACTGTCATCGGGGTACTGGGTGTCTGCCTGAGGGCAAGCCAAAGACGCCAAAGCTCCAAATGCAGTCGCGACAAGCGAAATAGGCCAATCCGGCTATATCCGTTGCGCACCATTGTGACCTTGGCGACCATGCGTACGCTTCTTGAGCAGGGCTTCGTAGCGACGGCAGCAGCGGCGGAGTCATCCTCATCACCCTTTTTAGGATCTGGCAGGTGCTTTATCAGCGCAGTCGATCGTTTCCGCTTCTGCCCACGAACAGAAGCACCATCAAGGTGCGAATGCATCAACTTCGCCCGCAACTCAGCTGTCAACTCCACACCGGCAATGGTAACGACGCCAAGGCGTCTGCCTTTAGGTGTACTTAAGCCTGTCGTCGCAACAAGGCCTTTGTCACGCAGAAATGGAATTACACGACCCAAGGTGCGGCGGTCAACGATGCGTAAAAGATCATTCAGCAATAATGCCTGCAGGGGTGCCACATGCAGAGCCTCCATGACTTTATTCACGGCCCAACTCGACACGCCCTTTACCAGATCCAACTCCTTCCCTTCCATGCTACTCATTTTATCGGCGCTACCATGTCGATCGTCACCCCACCCTTTTGGTCGCAGGAGACGGGTGAAGGCCTTGCTATGAGCACTCAACACGTTGGTACTCTCAATGGTTTCCCAGCGCTCTTCGAACTGCCGGGCAAAGCGGAGCAGTTCGTTCCCCGTCGCCCTCAAATCGTACAGAGTGACACGTGGTAACACCGATTCCATCACAAGTGGCCGCCGCTCCGCCTCCTTTGCCAATTGCAGCGACAACGGGTACGACGGGTCAATGCCGAAAGACTCGTTGTTCCTCTTAGCATCCACATTTAAATCGGCTGCCGCACCACCACCATGTTCTTTACTATCATCATTACCCTCATCCGCGTCGTTATCATCCTCATCACTGGAGTTCGATGCTCCACTCATATTGCTATCATCGTCCTCACCATCATTATCATCATCATCATCATCATCATCATCAGCATCAGATGCGTCCGGAGAACTGTTAGCAACCACAACACGCGCATTGCGCTTACTTTTCCTGATAAAAATGGGTGCAATGGCAATGCGCAGTCCCCCGGCTCGAAGCATGCGTCTTAGGGCCAAATACATCCTTCGACCGTTTATAACCGGCACTTCGTGACCGTGTGCCGCAAATATGGCGTGTATGGCATCCTCAAAAACCAGTCGACGCTCCGGTGATGATAAAACAATCTGGCGTGCCACCAGGGGATCTATGACAATAAGTGGCGGCTGCAGTTCCCCACGACGCCTTGCCAAATATGCCTCCAAGGGCCGAAGGTGTTGTTTTGGTTGATTCGGTGGCGGTGGCGTAGCAAAGTGTGGAAACAGATGCGGCACAACCGGGGCTCCCTCGTCCACGCACACATAAAACACGCGCAACCACTGCTCTCGTAGCAGCCGCCGGATGCCACCTCCCAAGCCTGCCTCGGATGGGCGTCTTTCTTCTTCACCGGCTGCAGAATTCTGAAAGCGGCGGACCCCTGTCACTAAGTTATCGCACGCGTAGTTCACAGCGATTCGTGTGTTCTTAAAACGGAGAGATACACCTAACGTCTTTTCCTGCAACGCCATGCTTGGATAAAAGGTGCACTGCTCGTATGGCACTGTGCCATTCAATAGATCGGACGGCACCACAGGGTTCCCATCCCGTTTGACGCTAACTTCGCCACTTTCGCTTAGAAGAAGGTCTAGCACCATCTGGCGCAGAGATGCATGGTCCACAAGGCCGTGGTACGGAAGTGCGTCGTTGGAAACAAATGAGAGCAGCTCCTTTCCGCTGCAGCCGTACTGCTCGCTGTGGGAGCCAACAAACTCCAGCACGCACTCAAGGATCTCCCTAAACATAAAAAACCAACTAACAACTTCTGTTGTTTCCGTTGTTGCCTTTTTTTTTCTTTTCTCGTCGATTTCTCTTCCACGAGAATCGAGAAATGCCGCACGCTGCACCAATTCCGTAAGTAATGATGATGCTAACAACAAAAACAAAAATTACTATTATTATTATAGTACGGTACCAAAAGAAATGAGAAAAAGAAAACGCAAAAATGGATTTCATGAAATAAAAGACCGGGCAAATTGATAGTAATCAGAAAGAGGGTAGACGGTGGGAATGCCCCAGTGTCTCCTCGCATATCTGCTATGCCCAACCCAATGTGAATCCTCTCTCTTCTGTTTCTGGAAATCTTTATCGTTTCACTTGTACTTCTGTTCTCACTCTTTTTTTTTTTTTTTTTTGTTCGTTTGTTTTGTTTTTTTGAGAAAAAAAAAAAAACGTGGAGATATTTATTCATTCGCCCCTTGGCTCTTCTCTACTGGTGGAGGGTAAAAGGAAAGGATTTTAAAGGCTCCGTTGCAATCGCCGCGGTGGCGAAGGACGTTGAAACAGCGAAGCGAAGACGAGGTGTAGCGATGGTGATCGTGGTGTACATTGGCTGACCCTTCATTCCCTTCCGGTGGAGCAGGTCCCCTCCCCATCGCTGCCACAATCGCTCCTGCCGTAGAAATTATCAGAAAGAGGAGGAGGAGGAGGAGGAGAAAAAGGAAGAACCGCTACTGCTGCTGCTGCTTGAATTCTCCTCTTCTTCCTCCTCCTCAATCATCCGACGACGACGCCTCTGTTTTAATACCCGCCGCTGCTGCTGCTGCTGCCGTTGTTGTTGGTATTGCCGCTGTCCCGTTTGTTTGTCGTCTTCTGCCGCTGCCGCGGAGTGTTTTCCTCGTGAGCCCCTCGACTTCCGTTGTGTGCTGCCTCGGCTACCGCAGACGTTCTCGTTTTCGTCAGTCTCCGCCTCCATATCGGCCTCCCGCATGAGCCTCGAGAGGGCGGCACAAAGCTCCTCCAGTGCGCGGCGCCGACTGTTAGTAGCCGCAGCACCAGCAGAAGGACCCTCCCACAGCGGAGCCACCGTCTGCAGAGCGGCTGCGATGCTCTGCCGGAACGCCACGGAGGCTGCGCTCTGCGGTTCACGGCGGGTAAGCAGCTTTGCCTGATGAGTGTCGCCGCCACTGCGCCGCATTGCCAAGCGCCGCAGCTTTGCCCGATGCAGGCCGTACTCATTACAGAGAAAGGCGCGCAGCTGCAAAATACACAGAATTCCAAAGCACAACCACAGCTCAACAGAAATATCCGGCTTTGCCGTGGCTTCACTCCAACGATCACTTTTTCTCCCCTTCGCCGAATGTGTGGAGCGTTTCTCTGGCTGCAGGAGAGATCGCTGCGCCTCTGCAAAGTCAAGACAGCTCTGCCCCACCAAGTCCACAGCTGTGCGACATCCGTCCAGTACATGCAGCACATCGCTTTCTTGCGTGTAAGGGACGTGTGCCATGACAATTGCCAAATGACCCAAGAAAGGAAACGGGCTTCGCGCCGACTCCCCATCCTTCTCGCGGTGTTCCCTTAGCCACTGTGCTGCCCGGCCTTCTTGGTAAAAGTACCGCAGCAATGATGAGAGAAATGCATCACGGTGACGCTTACGAAATGATGTGAAGAGGTGCGCATGCACACACTCTACCGCCTCCGGGCCAGTGTCGGAAAGGACGGCGCTCCGCAGCACGTCCACTCCACATGCGTCGTGAAGATCAAATGCCTTCACTACACCAGTGGCAGCATTGGCGGCAACGATGTCAGCGTAACGCTTGGTCTGTGATGCCATACAGTCCACGGCAGCCTTCCGAATTACTTCGTTCTGTGGATCTGCAGCAAGAACTATCAAGGCGCTTGCATACTTGGACGGTGGAAGTAGTCCCCCCTCCGCACAAAGCTGCAGGACCTCAAAAGCCAGCTGGCGCACCGCCACAGAACTAATCTCGCACAGTTGCAGAATCTGCACGTGAAATTTCTGCAACACCCATGTCGCCATGCCACTGTTTTGGTCATCTACGCATGGGGCAATTTCAACATGCAGCTCATCGCGCTTCCTTCTTTTCCTCTCAGGAGGAGACGAAGAAGGAGAGAA